ACAGGATATTCGAAGTTATTTGCACTTATTCCTAGAACTATGACTATTAACCGCAAATTTCTTGTGCAAACTATAACTGTACTCGGTCTAAATTGACTTGTGTCCGATTTACGAGAATGTAGAGCAGTGTTCATTTAACCGCAAGTTAAGGCAATTTTGCACGATACCAAAGGCGTTCTCGATCAATTACGGTTAAATATATGTACGCACTTAATTATGGCAATTCCATAGCAAAGTGTACCTTAACCAATACGTTCTTGTATCCTGGAAACGTATCCGTGACTAAATAAGAATTTATCTGTAGCTACACAGGAAGCATAAAGAACCTGAGAGGTATCACATCCGCCCGATGAGATGAACTGAAAAAGCTACCGCCGCAACCTGTTCAAAGCGAGTGCGCTGTTTAATTTACGAGAAACGCAAAGAAAAATAAATAAAGTAAAAAAGATGACTTCGAGACCAACAAATTTAATTACGCGGAGGAATTTTATCGGTCTTTAAAATAATTAATCGGCTATTATTCCTGATTGCGCTCTTTAAATTGACTGGCGAAATTAAAAGCTGACGATTTTTTTTTTGCAGTATCGGACTCAAATTAAATCTTATTACTAAAATCCATTTCAAAATAGAGTTAAAAAATTAGTACTATATAACGGATTATGAACATTATTAAACTGTTTGAATAAATAATTTTAATGCATACAAATTCGAACAGCTATCCACACCGTTACGTTCTTTATTAGCTAGTTCAATAAAAATATACAATCTAGCACTGAATAACAAATAAAACTAGAACTAATACTAGACCTAGAATTAGAAAGTTTCGAGTTTAGCCGTGCGTCTCTTAAGACGGATAAACCCGAATGTTTCTAGTTCTAGGTCTAGTGTTAGTTCTAGTTTTAGTTTAATACAAATATACAACAATCTAGCACTGAATAACAACTAACTAATGACCTGCAAAGACCAGTGTATCACTTCAAAATAGCAGCGAAGCAATACAATATGAAAATATCAACGGAGAAAACAAAATGTATGGTAATATCCAAAGAACCAAGATGCTTCAAACTACAAGTTGTAGACTCTATAGTAAAACAAGTTATGCATGTTAAAAATCTAGGTGTAGAAATTATAAGCTATCGAGATCTATGTAAGGAACAAGAAGCACAAGTTACAAGAGCGACACAAGTGGCTCTCTAAGGGATGTATGTGTAGAAGAAAAATTAAAATATATAAAGCCATGGTACAACCCATACTAACATATGGTACCGAGACGATAGCAAAAACAAAGAAGTTTAAACAGAAGATGAGGATGATGGAGATGAAAGTCTTGAGATCTATGTTGAATGTGACACTGTGAAATAGGCAGACCAACATCTCTATCAGAGAAAGATGTAACATACAGGATGTAGCAAAATGGGCAAAATTAAGAAAGAAAAGGTGGAAGGAGCATGTGGAAAGAATGGATGAGAGGAGATTGGCCAGAATATGCATGTATGGATGACAGAAAGGAAAAAGACCATAAAGACGACCGGCCAAAAGATGCGCACAGAGCTGGTTCTCCTCTTCTGCGGAGTAAACTCCAAACATGAAGCTTGACAAACAGAAATACATCCCTAGTCGAATGTAGAAAAAGAACACTTTTTATTTGGATTAAAGCTGTAATAAAATGTATTACGTTATTAAGACTTTCCTATCAATGAGAAATAATCACCTTTATACAAGAAATGAAACCGAACATAACGAACGATATCATCAGGTACAGTCCTGTGCAATCACGATATTTTTACGATCCGGTCGTCGACAACCGGTCATTTTACGCGAATCACGGGCCGCAATTTCAAGACCCTTTATTAGTGGTGGGCGTAGTTACCTTTAATCGCTTCTGTTAATTAGAAAAGACCTTCTCCTCACGCCGTAGCCTTACGTAATCGGAGTGACGGGATTAATTTCAAAATTTCAAACCAACGCGTCTCCCAATAACAGGTTTTCTTCTGTTAATCACACCGAGAGCCGTATTCGGATCCGTTATTCAGATATGCGCGCCTTCTGCTCAATGGAATTGATTACAGGAAGCGGCAGAGAGAAGTGTGATTAGAAGTTCCTGCTAAATTAAAAAGTTGAAATTTTATTCGATATATTTAAAACGTTTTAATTCTATTCGGGATAAATAGAGGAAAAAGATTTTTTTAAATCTTGTATTGATTAAACGCCCGCACAAACGCAATTAAGCAAAAATGCAGTGCAAACTGAACCGAGAACCGCATCGGGCGGTAACTTTGAAGTTCGATTAAAAGCGCGAACGGTTTAATTTAATTTCGGATTGGAAAATTGCTCGCGTAATTATTAATTTTCGTACCTCGTTGCCGCTTTTATCTATCCGATACCAAACCACATTGACCCAAACACGCAATTACTATGTTTTGCGACAAAACAAAGAATTTTTTTAAATCCACGGTGACCTGGCAATTTGTAAACGGAGATCAAGAATTACACGACCGGAATATACGAATGTTCACACAAAGGTTCGAATGAGTAATTGAGAAATGAATGCTACCGTCAGGTTCGTGTGCAAGCTGCGATTCCGTTAGCGTACTACTACCCTTTCTCTTATTCGTTTTGTCCCTCTTCGGGTCATGGTGTAACGAATTCCGGGCGACGCTGATTCGATTTGGAGACGATGTTGTCTCTCTAGCGAAATTGCGCTATTCTCTCATTTGGCAGAGACTCGTAAACACGTAATCGTATCTTTCGTGAACAAACAAAAGTAATTCCCTTGATGCAACCGTCACAACAAAAACACTAACTAATTTTGATGTCGAAAAAAAAAAATGCGAATAAGAGTTGTTCTAATATTATGGTTATAACAATCGGTATGTTCGCGCAATAGCACCATCACCGTGATTGTTGTATTGTTGTTTGTGGTTTCCTCGGGGATTTTCAGAAACGTGTTGATTACGTGACGCGGCTGACGTGCGGTCTGATCGGATAATGGCCAGGGCTTCGCCTTATGTCTTTTTCGTTGTTCATGGCGGATATCGTTCGGGATTTTCGATTGAATTGAAAACCGCGAAGCCATTACCAATGACCGTGCGAACCGATTCTCTCGACGCCAATGCACTTTTCTTTTAGAAGCGAGACAGAAATTGAAAGAACCCAAAAAATAAATATCAAGATTTACGACAAATTAAGACTAACGAGACAAACTAACTAACTATCTTCCAAGAAGTCAATTTGTCAACAATGTATACTTTTTAAAAATACAGATTCTGTTAACAAGGTTTAAAAGAATATAGGGGCTTAAAAGAACCAAGTCGGTAATGAATAGTGACAACGAAGAGAACCAGTCAGGTTTTCATCCATAACACCAAACCTTTTGTTCAATAACTTCCCCGTTCTTTGTTTATTCAATAAAGTAAGTAACCAGATAGTGGTCGAACGAGATGCGGGAGCACACAAAACCCGTGGCCCCCTTTATGTGTGCTAGAGAGTGTGTGTGAGACGTTTTTGTTCGATAACTAGTTTAAGTTGCCAGCGTTAATTGATTTACGAAACTGCTCTCGATAGAACTTACTTTCAAGTGCCCCTAATCGCCCTTTCGAGTACTTTTATATCGGATCCGAAACGATAAAATCGAATCGATCACATTATCAACAACCCATAATTTGTTCGAAGAAGTACCGTATTTTCGATAATTGATACACCGCGTGCCCGCAGCTACCGAAACAAGTTCGGACGTGTCCCGGCACAAGATAAGAAGTGGCCTTGCATTTCAGCGAAATAAATTACTGAAACGCAACGGGGGCACCAATTACCCAATCATTCTGTAGTCTCAAACGTGATTTATAATACACCTTGCACGTTTGGACCGGTTTGTTTCGTCCGTTCGGTTTATAATTAAGCAGTGAACTGGTCCTACGCACGATAACTGACAAGTATTATTTTTTCACCAATAATGACTACATTCAAAAAAAGTTGTTTTGTATATATGGAATGATTTGAAGGTGACAAGTTTAAAAATATGTTATTAATACACATAAATTCAAAATATGTACCATTTAAAATTGGTCCACACTTAATTTTTTTGCATTTTTATATAGCACTCATAAACAATATTATTAAACGTCAACCGTGGGTTTATAAATAAAAAGGAAGTGGTGAAAGAGTTAGATTACAGCTACTTTAGAAGACATGGACTCAATTCTATTTATGTATTATGTATACAATCTCTTAATTTCGTCAGTAAAATATTTGCAAACCATCTTCAAATTTCACCATTATCATTCGAAAATAAAAGGCCACTTCATTAATTATCCAGTGTATTCATCAAAATCTCACAGTTGAATTTTTGCACAATTATAAATTAAAAGTAAACGAGTTCAGTAAATAAGAGTTAAACTAGATTTAACTAACACGTAAAGTTTAAAATTTGATCAACCTGAATTGGATTGAAGCTAAATAAATTAACGTCAAGCACAGGATATTCTATACGCGCTTTAATTTATTCACTTGGTATAATCTTTGCTTAACGTTTACCTACCGTATAAGATTACAGTGTGCAGTTTGAGCTTTCGCTCAGATCCGGTGGATAAATTATGCGGCTAAAGCTACACGGAATGGAATATCGTAGGAAATGTAAAACGAAAAGACATTAGGAGTGGATAAGCGACGTCCTACGACCGGCTTCCGCGCGTAATCTTTGAAAATATTGGTACGAAGCCCATAAATTTCCGTACGACCAAAATGAATTATGGCGGGTGTTTGAAATATGAAATATGTTGGTAATATTTTTCGCGTGCAACAATTGAAACAAACGTCATTAATTTTATTTTTTCCCCTTATTCTGTGAAGTTACCACACACGTGTGAAAAAATGTTGAATGGACAGTTTACAAAAAAAATCTCTTAACGCATCACATTCCCATCATCGCATTGTGTAATAAATCTCGGAATTTTTTTCACTTTCCCTTCTTTTCAACAATTTTATAAAATAACTTTACTTACTTTCTGTTGCTTTCCAAGAACGTGTCAAACTCAACTGCCATTTTACAGCAAAGTGCTTTCCGATAATGAGACGAAGAACAATTCGTATTGATCATATGCCCATCTAAAACAATAAGAAAAAGAATCTATTAAAACAATTCCTTTGTAAATTCTAAGAAAAAACATCATTAACAAAGAAAATTATATAAAAATGTTCTCTTGTTTTAGCCGCATCAACATTCTTAGAGAATAGTTTAGTGGCGTAATTGCAATTATACTCGTACCTAGGGAATTTAGTCTTTTTAAAATAATAAAGGCAACTCGGAAAGATTACGGGTTACACAAACGCGTGCTTTTGCTAAATGTGAAAATTACACCGAGAAATAAAAACGCCCCACGTAACAAAGACCACTTAGAACGGAGGAATTTCAATGAAAACCGAGGAACGCACTCACTTCTTACTCTCGGTTACTGACGTTATGCTCAGGTTATTCTTTAATCACCGGTATGTGTGTGTGTGTGGAAGATAAATAATCGCAAAAGAAACTTCTTCCTGTTTTTCTTTATCAAGAATAGTTAATTATAATGACAGCAAGCAACGTGTTCTTTTTGCATTCTCGGTTCGTTTTAAAGATGCGTTATCATTCGAGTCGAAATAGAGCCGGCTGTAACAATACCGATGAATATCAACCTAATTGGACTCGGTTTAATCCAATTGCTTCCTGGCCAAGCAATAATCAACGTCTATTGTTGCCGATAAAACTTCAACAAAAAAGTCTTATGAAAGAATAAGTAATTATTAACGATGACTTTAAAGTTACAATAAAGTTTGTAACCGGAATAGTGTCTATCAAATATAAAGTAAGTGAATAGAGTAAAATACTTTGTTTACGGATTCTAATAAAGTCGTTTTACGGGGGCGTTTTGTCGTAAACTCGCGCAATTTGTACAGTATGATATTACACCCTGAAATTTGGCACTTAGTGAATGCAGGGTAGTAAAAAATTAAAGTGGTTTAAAGTGAACACTTACTAGTTTGTCGTTGAAATTCTTCATCGTCCGTATCCGTAAAGAACCAAGTCTGTAACAATAATAAAAGAAAATTGAATTTAAATGATTTAAGTTCGTTTAAATAATCTAAATTAGTGCAAGCTTTAAAGATAGTAAAATCCACCTACACACGTCCAATTACAAGAAACCAGCTGTAATTAGGTATTAAATTGGACCTGGGCTCAAGTTCAATGTATGTCAACGTTAATGTGAACGCTGGAGGAACGACGTCGCTAACTCTTCTTAAGTGGAGAGTGGTCTTATCTCGTATAATGTGCCGTTTTCAGGAGACAGGGGGCTCAGCCGTCACAAGTGCCGAACGGGTCGTTAACGTTTTACCGTGAATAAAAGTGCTTAATCCTCCTGGCTTTCGAGAACAAATTGCTCCCAAAATTGTTTCCTTTAACGATCATAAAATGATAAAAGGAAAAAGAATGGCGAATTTAATGTCTAAAGTTCCACAATTCGCGCTACCTATGTCAGTATTCTATGCAAACGCAGCTGCTGATAAAGTCCAGACAACGCATCCTGTGTTAGCCATAGTATCGATGCAGAGAAATTCCTGCGGAGTTCGCATGTTTGCTTGAGCTACGTGCGGTTTTCGCTGCAGTGTTTGTTTTAGGAAGATAGCCAGTGTTAGTTTGGGTTAATTTAACTACCTCCAGAAACTATACCAGTAAAAATACTTTATGCATTATAAACAATTAAATTTGACCTAATTTTAAATTTTTTGCATACTCTTAATTTACACTAATTGTTTGTTAAAACGCGTTGAGCCAATTAATCCCAATTTCTCTTAATTAATATATAACTACATATGTAGCAGTATAACCGCAAAAATTTAAATAACATTTTTGTTTTCGCATAAAACTGCTCCCTTTTTGTATACAAAATAGGGGATTAAAAACCGCTTTTGTTCCACGCCGTTAGTCACCCTTCCACAACAGAGAAAAAAATTCCCTGGTTACCGGTCGCATGCATTACACGTGTCTCTACCCGTGGGAAAGACTTTAAGTAGCACGCTTCGGGGGTCACCCCTAAAAATACAATCGAACGCACACCCACGTACCCCATCAGGAAGTCGACGTGAACAATATGTTATGGACAATACACTAACTAAAAAGTTAACAAGCAAAACATTTTTTACGTATTTCTTACCTGCTTCTTTGCCAATTGAAACCACGTCTTCAAAATAATTGGTAACCTCTGCCGATGATACAACTTGGTCGTTTTGACACTGATGAATACATCGTCCAAAACGGTGGCAGGAGGACGCATCGTAGCAGTCGCGGACGAAATCTCGCTGGTAATTTCGTTGGAAACGAGGCCATCTCGGGGGTCGAAAGGATCGCGTGCCTCCACCAAATAGTTGCCGGCCAACTTGGCGCCCGCGTCGTCGGCCCCCTTCACAACAAACAAAAAGAAAACAAAATTTAGCGCATGTTAGCGGTCAGGTGTCCGAAAACTATGCGAAATCCGCCGATAAATTTCGCGTCAAGACATCGGTATCGAAGGGATTTCGGGCCGCCCGGAATGAAGATCGAGAATTCGTTGACAGGGGATTGCTTTTAATTGGACTGGGGAAAGCGGGGATCGTATTTCACTCTCGAGTTACATAAATAACCCTTCCAGATAAGTTTCAATGTTATACGAAAGGGGTTGTTAATACAATTTGCCTAAACTATGCCAAAAATGTGCTTGATTATTGTTGATAACACATTAATTAATTAATAAGTACCTTATTTATTTTTACGCCAATTCCAGCATAACAGATGTCGACATCAATTACATTAAACACTGTGGTAATAAAATAAAGTAATGAATAATTCATATTTATCAGTTACATGGTCGCATGATGAATTTCGCATTAACGCAAGATTGAATTTGTATATTATTGAATTAATAAGGCTCATAATTTCACCAGGCGTGCGGTGGTATTAATTACAGTTTTTTTTTGGCACACCGCATCCGTTATAATTACAAAATTGGTTCCTGCTTTACGTTAAATCCGCGAGTTAAACACAAAATGTAAAGTGGAAAATATTAATTCCATTTGAAATGTGACAACCGAAATTTGCAATATTACTCCTAACTTTGCGGAAACATGAACGCGGTTTCAATAACAAATCTTTAACTAAGACCGCAATTAAAGTAAAAGGTCGTATTGAAACTTCTTCAATAAATTATTCGTATAGATCTTGAACGGTTCTGTTGGAATTATCGCAAGCATCTCGCCGATGTTGCAGCTGCGACTCGAGTGACGCTTATTTGAAAAGCAAACGTCTCATTGAATGATCTTTCAAGATTTTCTCATGGGATTTTATCCCACGTATTTTATGAATTCGCGCAAATCTAATCGTTTCATTTGTAAATAATAAACATTGTTGTTTATTTTTCTGACTATATATTTTTTTGATGATGTTTATATTCCCAACATTTTTTTTATTTCTTGTATAAATCAATATTATTATTAAGAATCAAATCGCTTATCTAATATATATTTTTAAACAATTAATTTTAATAAAAAAAATAAATAAATATCGTCTTATAAATATAATAGTAAATTAAAGAACGTGTCGAATGTTTACCTCTTCCTCGATCGGCGCACGTGACAACGTCTGGTAGACCAAAAGAGTGGTGTAGGCGATGAGTACGGCAACGGTAAGCGTCTGAACCGCACGTCGAAATCTAAAGCTCATTTTCACCATCACCTCATCGTCATCGAACGGCATGTGCGCGACGAAACAGTTCGTACAATTTGTCCATTTCAACAATAATTCGAAAAGATCGCGCGGCATGTAAACAAACCGCTTTCGCCGTAAGTCCGTTGCACAGGCGCGATTAGTTCGAGGTGCGACGGTCGACTGCACGGGGCCATGTTTGTCGGAGAGACTAGTCGTGTCCAAACGTATGATGGTGGTGGCCCCCTTCATGTCCCGCCGTTTGCCGTAGACTCCGTCGAGTGGGGGAGAAGAACGGCGACCGTTTCTTCCAAACGCCAGTTTCTTCAGCAAGAAGTACCTGTCCGTGTCGGTGGCACACCCTTCCAGAGAACCCAGAAGACCGTGACAGGTGCGGCAATAACGTGGGTTTTTAGCGAATTTTTAAAGATTTCCTTTCAGTTTCTTTTGTATACAATGTACTCATGAATATTTAGTCTTTGATTAAAAAAAAATCCAATTACCTTTCATTTATGACAGAATGAATTCATTCTATAAAACTTCCACGAATTCCTGGCTAATTACAATAATTAACGCAGGTTGACGTCACTTTCTTCTATAATCTAATTTAATACTTCTCAAGACAATCTTAATTCATAAATTTTGGGTATACAAGAAGCTATACAAATCCATATCCTTAATTATACACTACTACAAAATGTCTCAAAAAATAATTTTTGAAAAATAATTAACGTAATTAAGATAAAATATTTACCTGTGGAAAATCTATTTGGGGTAGAAAAAGAAACTAATAATTATTATAAAGTAATTTTTTATAGTATAAACATTTCCAAATTAATTAATTAATTAATTACGTTCACAAAGTATCCCCTAACGAATGCGAATTCGGACTTGGTGTGGAACTAACAGAACTTAATGTCTCCTCCTTTATTTTCAATTTATTTGGATCTTTATCCTTTTCTTTTTCCTTCTTATCTTTATCCTTATGTTTATGTTCGTGTTTGTGTTTATGTTTATGCTTATGCTTCTTCTTGTCTTTCTTCTTCTTTTTAACCTGCAAAACATTTAATAAACAAACAATTCTTTAAATAAAAATTTATCACCTTTGTTGGATCGGACTTATTATGTTTAGGATCCCCGTCCTTTTTAAATATTCCAGGTTCAAAACTGACGGGACCATGTTGACCCATTAATCCAGGTAAGGAAACTGAGTTATCAGAAAAGTATTCTTGTTTTGTAAACGTTTTGGTTTCCGAGTTAACTTCAACCACTTCCTCTTTAATTCCATCGCGAACGACCACTTCCATATTCACGCACTCAACATTTTCTTCTATAACAACCGTGTTTGGACCTTCCTTCTCAATAGGCGGCGGTGGTTTTACATCTACTGTACTAACAGGAGGGATATGAGTGAAATGAGGTTTTCGTTTGATTTCATCGTGAACTTTTGGTGGTTTCAAAATCCCGATAAGTTCTTGTATCGGTAAGCACAAAGGTCGTTTAATTCCATACAATTTGTAATATAAATCAACAAAATCACACCGAAGTTTTGAATCATGTGATAACATCCCACTGAAATTTATGAAAAAATTTATATATACAAGTTTTATTTGATTACTTTAATTACTTTATATTTGTCCAAATTCTATCGACTAAATCAGGCACATCTAACCGATGTCTGTATCCTTTCTCAAATGGAGGATTTATTACTAATAAACGAACTAATCGGTGACGTATTCCGGGATCTGGGTCATTTTCAGCTATTTCTAAGAGATGTTGAAGATCATCTAGACGTCCGTCGCTTTTTACAAAATCAACCAAACATTCAAAAGCAGCTAAACGAACGTCTAAAACAAAATTATAAGACACCCCTAATACCAAAAAAAAATTTTTTACCAATAAATTGTCCATAAACAGCATAACTCTTAAACAAAGTTGATCTACTCGGTAAATGCCCAAATTTTTGCAATTTCCTTATAGCTTTTAAACAAGCCACAGTAACGGTATATTTATAACAAGGAACCGATTTTTCCAAATTTAACATCCTCGTAATTTCTTCCAAAACCAATTTGGTGTCAGCACTTAAACTTTCTGAAGTAATTGGTGCTCCTTGTTGCATAACAGAAACAACAGGAGTTACTGTAGCACCTAAAGCTTCCACCAAAGAGGCTCTATAATAATTATCTGAGTATCTATTCTTTGAATTATCGTTATATTTAAATAAATCGAGTAAAAAACGTATTACTTCCGGTGGACAAATTCCGTGTGCATTTCTAAGTCCACCCATAGCCAAAGGAATTGTTTTTTGAAGAAAATAATGTTGAAAATTTTGAAACGTGTTTTGACGAATTATATTCGGTGCTGCAAAAGAACCGAAAAATTTTCTAAAAATTGTTAACATAGCCGGTGGTCCAGCCCAGCTTGCAACCAAATCATTAGCAACCTTAGTCAAGCAATGAGCCGCCCTACACCTAACTTTATGAAAACATTGCTCGTTTTCAATTGTATCGGTCAACGCTAATCTTGTAGCTGGTGTCGGATATCTTTCCAATGCAACAATCGCTTCCATTTGAGCTGTAACGTCCCTTTCGTGCCTCAACTGATATTGCCATTGATAATCGGGTTGTTCAATCACAACGGATCTCAATAAAGTCATCTCTGGATCTAATCGTACCCAAAGTACAGGTGAATCATCCATTGCACTCAAATCCATATCAACCTCTTCTCCTGTACATAAAGGAATTTTCTTTTTTTTATTTCTCCTACTTTTTGAATGGCACGTTATATCAGCTTTTACAACGGTATTTTCGATTTGTTGCATGTGTTTGAATGTACCATCAAGTTCTTGGAGTGTCACCAAAAGTGGACCTACGTATTTACGAATTCCCGTTTGTGAAGTTGCATCTTGACGAATTTCTAATTCAATTGTATTTCTAGAATTTAAATATCATTTTCGTATTATTACCGTTTCTTATTTCTTTTTGTGATATTGACACACACAGCGTTTTTCGAGGGATTACAAGGCGTTTGTGTGTATATCTTAAAATTTTAAAGTAATACTGTTTATGTAAAAGCATTTTCAATTATCAATAAGTAAGATGAGTCAGATAAATGAGTCCATAACCCACAATTAGCGCTCAATAGCGTGGAATTCACCGTCGTACAGGTGAAATGATATTCAATTTTAATAATAGTCAAAGTAGGGTTAGGATGTGTAAACAACACTGTATGTGTCAGCAATTTTACTTTACCTTTTTCGATTAAATACTGACGTTAAATGAAACTTAGCATGACCTCCAGTTCTTACCCATTGATCAACAAAAACAGCCATATCTTTTCCAGTAACGGTAAATATAGCTTTAGTAAAAACATTAGTGCTAATAAGCATATGCCCCCATAAACCAGATCCAATTTTTTGACCGGCCGCATTCGAAGCTAACGATAATTGTTTATTAAAAACTTGCAAAAGTAATTCTTGACCAATTCTATGCTCTAACATACGCATCACTAAAAATGCTTTTTCATGCATAGCTTCGATATACATGGGTGACATTGTGTGTAAATTTCTGATAGAGAAATAAAAATTAGTTTCGATATTTTTTTGTACTGGCTGAGAGCTATTAGCCGAAGTTGGCAATGGAGCCGGCGGCTGACTCGGATCTAATATAATTCCCCCATAATCCTCTTCGTATTTAACAACATTTAACAAAGTACTTTGAACAAATTCGCGATATTCGTTGTTACCAAAACTTTTTTTGCAATATAATCCGGATAAATATAAAGATATTCCTTTTGGTAACCACATATCAGACCAATTTTGCATCGATATAAAACAACCAAAAAATTGTTCAGCTATCGCTTGAGCCATAGCTCTTCTAGTTATATAAACCTGGTCGATAATTACAGCCGAATGTAATAAATTAGTACTTAAAATACTCATCGTTGCGTAAGAATTATAATCGTCATCAATTTCATCCACAAAAACTTGTTTGTAGCATGAATAAGGATATCGATTTGACAAAGTTTCTTCATAAAATTCAAAAACTTCGTGCATACATTTTGTTGTTACTTTTAATAAAGGGAGAAGTTGAGGAAGGCAAAAGTGGGTTACTTCATGCATAAAAGGATCCACATAGATTTCAAAAGGACCCACTGCCAAAGAGATATTTGGGGCGCAAGTAGGAATAGCTAAAGAATAATGAAACGTTTTTCTTCGCATATCTGGAGTAAAAACCACTTCTGTTAAATCCCCATTAGAAATGGCAGTCATATTTTCATCAACTGTAAATTCTAATTTCCAAGTACATGGCTCTGCAAAACTATCAACACAAGGAAACCATAATCTTGATGAATTTTGATGACCATACGTGAATAAATGAACACCTCTCTAAAAAAAAACAACATTTAATCACATTAACTTTGAAAAAATAAAATCTTACTTCTGCATATGAACCTTCCCCAGCTGGAACAACAAAATGTAACCCTCCTTGTGGTTGTTCTAATGAAAATTCAATTCCGACGCGCAAAGCTGTTCCTTCAGCAATTAAGTGAGCGGCTTCATTAGGAACAGTAACAACAAGTTCACCTGCACTATTATCAGGATCTACTTTTAATGCAGCTGATAGATGTTGAGTTGAAAAATACTCCAAAGCGCGTCTATTAATTTAAAATCATTACAAAATAGATACAACTTATTTAGGTGTATTTACGTTTCTGTATCACTTTGGCATATATCAAGGAATGGATCAAAATACTGGAACTGAGCCTCATAACTCTCATTCAGAACAACTTTGTAAATGCGACACTGTTTGGCGTTTAGTTTTATATGTCTTAAGTTGTCTCTAAGTGGAACAACTGTCAATTCAACAAATCCCTTTAATTTTGAAATAAAACGTTATTTTATTAATAAATTTGAACATTAATAAGGGTAACTTACAATAATGCTTTTTCTATCAAAACTTATTCCCGTTAAACTCAATATTTGGTGAGCTGTAAACAAAACATAACCTCCAATTAATTTCATTTGCCTTTATTAGGATTAAAATGTATAAATATGGGTGATACTTATAGTTTGAAAGGTCGACAATTATCAGCAGTTTTTTCCTTCTTCATTTTTATTGTTTTGTATGCATTATATTAAAACTAAATTAATATGTTAAGATTTTATCATTTGTATAGAGACATAACCACAATAAAGGAATGAAGTTTGTTTATCGTTTTAAAGTTGAAATATATCGCGATAGATGGCACCAGGAAAATAATTTTATTGCATAAAATATAAAATTTTTAAATAATAATTTAAATGATAATGTTATTTATATTCTTATTTTCTTTAATTATGCATTCTTTTAAAAGTAAGTATAAAAAAGTAATAAAATTATAATCAATAAAATTTTTACTTCGTTATAGTTTACACCAATAGATGACGCCACTTTTAAAGTTATAGATTATTTCAAACTTAAAACAATTAAATTAAACTATCTTTTCGTTATTATTTATTTTTCATCATTACACTAATTAATTTTTATTTGACAACAACAAACTAAAACGATTACATCATGTTTTTTTTTAACTTACTCAGCTACTGTAATATTGAGTTGTTTAGTTTTATAATTATCAAATTTATCCATCGTTTTAATATCTCCAAGAGCAGCTAATGCAATAAAAAAACCAACGATTAAAGATGCTGTAACTAAAATCCCCGACCAAATAGGACCGGACATAAAATTAACGCAATTATAAGCATCGCAAAATCGACCATTTTTAGCATCGGGTTGAGCTTGAATCTTATAAAGAATTAATTCAACGTTTCCAGAAGCGTCTTTAAAAACGGTGTCTTTATGGCAATGATAAGAGAAATGATTTGGAGCACTAACTGTGCCAATTATTGATAGATTATAAGTTATACTTTCATCTTTAAGTTGATTAACCACTTCAACTGAGGTGAGACTCCAGTGACCATGTGAAGTGTGAAATTTAAATCGAAGAAGAATTTTTCCTTCAACCATGCTTATGGTTGGACTCAAACGAGTGTAACCATCACGAGCTCGAACATCAATGGTTACTGATTTAGCTGGTGGTAAATAAATGATTGTTGAATTTAATCGTAGCATGGGTGGTTGTGAGGAATAAAGCAAAACGGATCCTTCTCCATCATACAAAACTGGACCTTTAAAATCAATTGGTGGTGGCTCCTCAGGTTTTTCAGTTATAGGTTTTTGAGTTGGAATTTGTGTGGGGATTTGCGTTGGTAATTGAGTCGTTTGGATGTTAGTTTCTGTTGTATTTGGATCTTTATCTTCACGTTTTACTCTTGAAGATTCACAAAAAATTGCCACCAAAACATTTTCATAATAATTGGTGTTGGATTTATAGTTCTCTAAAGAATCTTTTATGATTTTACTATTAATGGATAAATCATCAGTGAGGTCTGAAACAATTATTTAAATAATCATTATGATTTAAATTTAAATCAAAAATAAATACCTTGACTTTCTTCTATGAAAAAAGTTGTCATGGGGATGTAAGATGAATAAAGATTTCCCAATTTTCTTGGGATAACATCAGCAGCTTTATCTATATCAACACTAAAGGGAATAACATTTGGTTCTTTTAAATCTTTTAAAAGTTGTTCGTAATCGTCTTGATTAAAAAGTGTAAAAGCTGGGAAATTTAATTTTTGTGTACTCCATAACAATAATGCACAATCTGATAAAGATAAATGGTATAATATTCCTAATATTATCAGCATTTTAGTGTTTCAACCGAACATTACAAGAAATATTAGAAAAATCGATAACTTGTTTCGTAGGAATCCTAAAAAGTGCGCAGAATCGTCCTAGGGATATTATTTTTTATTGAATTGGATATCATTTCAAGTTTAATCTCTTAAATAACATTCATTATGTTAAGAAACACTTAAAATTTCTCAAAAATTGTTCATAAACGATTACCATAATCGAAATTTTAAAATTATCAAAACCGGTTTAGATAAGAATTATTATCTACGTGTTATTTGTTTCATTACTTTTACCGCAATACGTGCAGTGGTAAACAAATAATATTTATTTTTGAGGCGAACTACATTTTAAGCAGATAATAAAGAATATCTGTGTGTGTGGTTAAATTACAACCTAACCGGTTGATATAAATAGCCCGACATCATTTGAAACGTTTATATTCTATTCTATCCTTCCAGATAGATAACAACGAATTAGGTTATTAATTCTTTTTATAAGTTTTTTAAATTCGTATTTTTTCGCGGGTAAATTTTAACCCTCTCTACGATTATCTGCCAAATTTGACCGAAAGATGTCTATATCAGCTGATCAGAAGAACGCATTGAATCGACAAGCGGTCGAGAACTTTCAAGAGTACCTACGAATCCCTTCGGTTCATCCCAATATAAATTACGGTAAGTTTAACTAAATTACATTCTTTATGAGTTTTAATTAATTCGGTAACATTTCAAATTAAAGTTTTTAAGTAATTTGAATTAATAGAGGAAATTATTTGTGATTTGATAGTCTTTTTTTTTACCGTATGGTTGTCACTTGACTTATGTGGAGTGGCGTCGTTTTGTGGGTGTGTGTTCAGAAATAATTTCCTCTTGGTTTTATTACCGCAAATTGACCTCTATTAGGGTATGTAAATTGATAATTGCGGAGACAATTTCTTAATAAAGTCGGCTGTCGATTAAGAAAATCGCAGGTAAGGTGTTTTTTTGATGTGGAGAAAAATCAAGGATGTTGTAGTCAAGGCCTACATAAAGAAAAGCCATTTTTAATTCGTTAGTCACCTGCATGAAATTTAAGCTTTCTTCTTTTTAACCTCATTCGGTTATTAAGTGTTATTATTTTTTATTTTAAATGAAAGTTATAATTTCCAATGAATTTTAATCTGTATAAATTATAATAGAAACGTGCGAGATTATAGATTATATTTTATTATTAATGTATAATGTTTAACAATAATTTATTATATTTTCTAATATTTTCGTCTTCATATTTAAATTTTAAATAACGTTGTTTGTAAATAATCAATGCTAAATGTAGTTTAGTTATTATAAACCTGAAGAGACTCTTCTTCGAAGTCTCTTCTTCTCGCTCCGCCAAGAAGGTCACGTCTAACTTCTGACGCTTCATTTATTGTAACTTTGCAAATTTTTTATGTTTAACCATCATTTTTAACTATTCTTAGTGAAAAATGTTTAATGCACCACGCTTTGACATCTCCATTTTGAACTTAACGACGCAATTTTGTAATTTGGCTATTTATCATAACTTACAAAATTTTTAACATTTCAAATTTAAAAGATTCTATCTGTTAGCTTCGCTTTTTGACATTTTTGGCTGAAAATACCGGTACCGATTTATATTAAATAATCCCTGCAAGTGCGAAGTTCATATTTTGTGTTTTACTTTCATATTCAAACCATTACTACGTTTGGAAACATAATAATTCTTAACAAATTGTTCTATGTTTTTAAAAACTTTACAAAACCCATTTGCATTACATTTTAATAACACATCATGTATTGCATGTGTGATATTCCAGCGGGAGGCAATCGTGCTAAGTTATTGTTCAAACATAGCCCTTCTGCTGCCAATCTTCTTGTAATCATCGATGCAAAAAGGCTAAAAGATTGCACTACTGTCAGAGGTTGTCTGGAGTCACTCATAAAACATTTTAGAAAACAATGCGATCACTTGGTGTTATAGAATCTCCCACAGATCTACCCACTCTTGATGCTGCTGCTCTAGCGGAGTATTTTGCTTATCCTCCTGTGGTGGTTGGTAACATAACTAGGCAGAATACTATTAATGAAATCCTTGCATCTACCAACGTGCTTTCCTTTTCATTCAGCTTGATTACAGATGCTGAGGTCCGAGATGCTTTAACTTACTCCAAGTCCACTAACGTCGGAGCAGATGGTATTGGACTCAGATTCCTCTTACCCATTCTGGATATAGTTATTACTCCCCTAACACATATTTTCAACTGTTCTTTTGAACAGTCTATATTTCCGTCAATCTGGCGAATTACCCATGTTATTCCTATCCCAAAAATTAAATCTCCGTCCCATGTTGGTGACTTTAGACCCATTTCTATTTTATCTACGTTGTCAAAAGCTATTGATCGTTTAGCTTATTTACAGATTCAGAAATATCTTGAGGAGTTTAATCTGATTAACAAGTTCTAGTCTGGTTTTCGTGAAGGGCATGGTACTACTACAACACTGATTAACATCACCGATGATTGATGCTGCGTTTTTAGAAAAAAGTACTTTTTGCAGATAACCATTCATTTGAGAAATGCTGAAGAATAATTGTACTGAACCAGCAACCCTAGAGTGACCTGGAACTCAGATCAGAGAAACTCTGTTGTCACAACTCGGTCTGTTTAAAGTTTTTTTACAGTCATTAACCAGAGCCGACACCGTTTTCACGGACTATAGCGCCTTGAGAGCGACTTGATTGTCTGAGAAAAATTTTAATTTCATGGAGAATTTTAGCACCCATGTCAATAGCAAATACTTTTCCGCCTGGAATACAGTACAGTACGTACCCAGGCTGTAAGCTTAGTTAATCCGTGTTTTGTCTAGGATTACTCCTATTTGACTTCCTTTGAGAAAGGAATTTCTTCACCTTGGATAGTTGGGTGGACTAATTCGCCCAACATAATTTCGTCTCATGGTGAAGGACACAACGATTGTCTTTTGCGGGTTTATTGAGAACGCAAATAGTGTCTAGGGTCGCCTCAGTTCAGTATAAAACCACATACAATTCAAGGGATTTTATATAAAGGGCCATAATAAAGTCTATTGTTCAATTTTGTAATGAAGATAACGATACTTGATTTCTCAAGTTGGAATGCATCTTTGAGTAGTGCTGCAAAGCTTCACAACAGTTCATCTTGATGTGTTCTGTATACTTGTACATCGATATTATAAATTTTGTTACTTTACGTTTGGAAGTATTCCTCTGACGATTTTCATAAATTTTTGTGCAGTTTAGAAATATAATGCCTTCCTTAACTTTTGTAACTACAAACTGCTTTCAATTTTTTTCGGACCAGGTCCTCATAGTCTTTACAAAGAATCACTTCCAGAATGGTTTGAATAATCTCATGCTTCGTAAAGAGGTTCGTATAAAGCTAAAAAGATAGAATCTCTTAATTACCTATAATTTAGGAGATGTGTGTAATCAATGTCCAGGAACACTAGAGAAAACTCTAAAAGAAATTCGGGCAAAATAGAAGAAGCCCAAAGAACCACCCAGAACTTAGCAGAGAAACACATCTGGAATCTAGTATCAGGAAAATACTAGATAAAGGACGAAGAGAAGTCCGAACGAAAAAGAAAAAGAAAAAATTTAGAAATAAACCAGAATTTAGATGATGCCAGAAAAAGAAACAATGAATTTAGAACAGAGAAAGAGTTAAAATTGGGAGAGCAGTAGAAGAAGGAGTGAAGAAGGCGATAAATAAAATAATATTGAAGATGTACAGTAAAGTTGATGCTGAGTCTGAAATGGCTGGTTTTTAAGAATAATCTAAATGTACTTGATGACTGGTGCAATGCGAATATGTTACACCTAAACGTGTCATATTGTAGAATGGACATGGAAAGGTCGGACAGTGTCGGCGTCCTTGGTATCATCTTTAACAAGAAATTGTCGTATATTTGGCCGTTACTAATTCTAATACTCGGATGCAAGAATTTATTTTGCGAACATCCAAACTATTTACTGCTCTAACACCAGCTCTGTGATATTTGTACATTTACGTTGTCAAACTTGGAGTACATTTTTATTATTTGGTCATCGTGCTATACTTATCATCAACTGATTGTCGAGAGCTTACAGATAAAGTCGTAAAATGACTGTCCTTTACGATATTTGGTGTGTACTCAGCTAGATGTTTCCCTTATGAGTAATTAAGAAAGTGTCACAATGTTGTTTCTTCGATAGTAAAGAGATAAGCTGGTCTTAGAGAACACAAATCAATTTTTATGTTGATTTGATTATTTTCTACCCATAACGCTACAACGTTATATTTGTGGCTTAACCTGAACCAATTTGCTAATTAATTCACTATTGCAGAAAATATTGAGATAATTAATTAGTACTACTATAACTACTTTTTTATAGACTATATCATATTTTATTATTATTATATTAAATATGTTGTCCTCTAATCTAATTTTGTCTTGTTAATAGACCTAGTCTGTTGGGCAAATAAACGTATAGCATGTAACTTTTCATTATCTAACTTGATAACCTGAAAATTATCCACATTTTCATTTATTTTGTTATATTTAACATTTTCATAATTTTATTTTTTCTTAACCTCATTATTCCAGATGATTGTGTGTCATTTTTACAAAGGCAAGCAAAGGGATTGGGACTCCCATTACAAGTTTATTCTGTGGAAACTAACCGACCGATAGTTATTATAACATGGGTAGGAACTGAACCTTCTATCCCATCAATTATGCTCAATAGTCACATGGATGTTGTACCAGTATTTGAGGTACTTAATATTAATTAATTAAAATATATTTTGTCATGAAAATATAAATCTAAAGAGGAGTTTAAAATGATTTAGGATTCATGGACACACAAACCATTCGCTGCAGAAATCGACCAGAAAGGCAATATTTACGCTCGGGGTGCTCAAGATATGAAATGCGTCGGAATCCAGTATTTGGAGGCCATTCGACGCATGATTAAAAGTGGAATTAGGTTGAGAAGGACTTTACATGTGACTTTTGTACCAGGTAAGTTTACAACGTTTAGGCAATTTAGATAAGTATATTTGACAAGTGGCATAACCAATTATTTTTAGAAATTATTATGACGAAAATTAAATAATAGAATTAGTAATAAGATTACGCAAATAAACAAAAAACAATTTTTTATTTTTAATTTTTTTTTGTATGATTTAGAGGAAGAATTAGGCGGTGTTCAAGGAATGAAAGAATATGTTCATACAACTCACTTTAAAAATTTAAACGTGGGTTTTGCTCTTGATGAAGGAATGGCAAATGAATCAGAGGAGTTTATTTTGTTTTATGGAGAAAGATTTATTTGGCGTAGGAGAAATAATTGAATTAAAAATGACAAAAATATGTAATTTTTGATTACTTTTTAGATATGCATTTTCATTGTCCTGGTCAACCAGGTCATGGTTCATTATTATTTGATAATACCCCTGGTGAAAAAGCACGCATTATTATTGATAGAGTCATGGATTTTCGTGCTCAAGAAAAAAAGAAATTGGCTGATAATCCAGAATTGGCAATTGGGGATGTTACAACACTAAATATCACTCAATTAAAAGTAACAAAACTGATCTAAAATTAATTTAACTCTATAATATTTCTTTTTAATATTTCATGAAATTAGGGAGGTGTTCAAACTAATGTCATTCCAGAAGAATTCATTGTCTCTGTAGATTGCAGACTTCCAATCACTGTAGATGAGCACGAATGGCAACAAACTGTTGATGGTTGGTGTAAAGAAGCTGGAAGTGATGTTTGGATTCAATATGAACAGAAACAACCCAAAGTGCCTGTCACGAAATTAGACAATACTAATCCTTATTGGATTGCATTTAAAGAAGCTATGGATGGATTGTAAGTAAATTATTTTAAAAAAATTAATTTATTTTATGAAATCTTGGGTAATTTCACTATTTATTTATATTTAATACAAACAAAAGATGTGATAAAAAGAGGTAATGTTTTTCTCTCAGGAATATAACAATAAAAAAGCGTATATTTCCGGGTGCGACGGATAGTAGATATGTACGGAATATAGGCATCCCCGCGCTCGGATTTTCCCCAATGAACAACACTCCCGTTTTATTACACGACCACGATGAGTTTTTGAACATCGACGTTTTCCTGCGAGGAATTGATATCTACGTTAAACTTATCGAATCTGTGGGAAATCTTGAAGAAACAACTGGATAATTTGGGGGTAAAAAATGTAAAATTTACAAAAAAGAAAGGATAAAACGAGACCAATTTTTTTAATATACACATGTTATATTTTTTGTGCAAACATATTACAATATATCTCTATATAGATTTGTTAACAAATATGTACGTATATCTTTCATATTTAAATCCCTATTTACCCAGTCCTGAAGACAAAATTTTTTTGAACCAAATCAAGGTTAAAAAATTAAATGATGTTCCAAAATAATCTGCCCACAATAATCGATTAGAAATACAAAGTTTGTTAAATTATACAATTATTTACAACGCCAAAGTTATACATAACAATCCTTATAATCATATTACATATATAATAATTATTGTATAAAAACCGTGTATTTAAAGAATACTGTAATTTTCAACAGTACTTTATGAACTGTGTTAAGTAAGTTTCTGTCTTTTATTGGGAACAGATTATTTGGACACCTATATAGATGTTTGTAATAAGCCTGTATAACATCTTACCTAGACTTCTTGAGCAAAAAATTGCTTTAACTCTGTCAAAATCTTATCCTTTCTGAAACACTGAATGCAATCGCCCCTAAGCATGATTTTTTTTAAATATAACTCAAAATACTAAGCAGTTGTTTAAAATTCTTATACAACATATTTTTTAGATATTATTTTTAATCAGATCAATTAATTTAACTTACAAGAATTTCGTATTTAGTATAAATTATGAACAACTTTACAAATTGTACAACAATCTGAAAAATTGCAGAGTTAACATAAATCAAAGTAATGGAAATGGAACTGAAAAACATTACAGCCATGGCTAAAGATGTTGAGTTAAATTAAAAATAAAGAAAAAACTGAAGACATGCTCATTTTGGTTGATTCTTTATAATAGAAGAAAATCAAGAAGATGTTGAAGAAAATATAACAATCATCTCACACAATCTCCTCACATATGTAGACATGTAAATTGTTGAAATTTTTGAAGTGATTCAAAGCGATGTGATTACCCTTGATTGTTAATAATATACATAAGAATTATGAGAAATAATATGTAAAGAGAGAGATGTCGCATCTTCAATTTCTAAAAGCTCAGGAAAACCATGATTACAGAAAATCAAAGCCTTTATTAGTTGTGATACTTCTACTATGATAGCATATTCTCTAGGAATGGTTACAAATTTCTGGGAATTATTGAAGATAAATCTGGATTTACATGGATTTTTGCATTATTTCCAAGAATACTCAGAAAATATGCTGATATAGATTTACACCAAATGTCAATGCATCAAATTGTCTAATTGTCAAAGAATTCTAATGAATTTCTATGTTGTATATAATAAATCTGCTTTATTTCAGCAGATCAAGATTTTCAGAGAATTTCAAAATGATTTTTTAAGCAGTTCCAAACGTTTTAAAGAATTCTCATAGATGACTTTTACGTGGATTTTCAATGGCTTTAAAGATTTTCCCTGGAATGCTTGAGATTGATCTATAGGTTTCTGGTATTAGTTGAAATGCATCTAAATATTCAAAGTTCCAAGATTTGCTTGAAGGTTTCCAAGCATTACTAAAAATTTTCAGAAAATTTTAATGGATTTTCAGAAATATCTAAGTCATTATTCACGCCCCTTAGATACTCCGTTAATAGTCTAGAAGGCTGTTTTCGTCTCAAACTGTTCAAATACTTTAATAATTGCACCATAATAGCGAAATGAAATATTTTGGGCAACTTCAGAGGTAGTTTCCGTCATCACTCTCAATGTTTATGATACACAGACAATAGTACAACTACCTTTGATATTGGAGTTTTGTCGCGAAACCAAGCAAAGTAAAAAGACAAGCTAGGTAAAGTTTACTTTCAAAAAGCAACTTCTATCCTAAGCGACATTGACACAGATACTGTCTGGTGTTCAATAGACGATGATCTGTAGTCGAGTTGCGTGTGTTCAGGAACTCACAAGAATCGTTGCTTGATTCAGAGTCGATTAACAAATTCTTAAGTTCGGACTTCGCCATCCAATCCCAAAGCGCACAAACAGTGAAACAACCACACAACATACATAAAGGGAGTCAACTGAAATTGCTGGGAGAGAAGTGATTTACGAACCAGGACGTTATTATGGACTTTAGAGGAACTTTTCGGTTTTATACACAGACAGTATATCACAGAGTTCTTATGTAGTGCTGGGATTCAGAAGTCGTTTGCGAGAAGCTAGCTCTAGAATTTCGAAAATTGCTTTCCTCTCTTAACACTGGATTGATGGTGCAAGAGGCTTGAGGATTCGACCATACTAATGGTCAGCAATCAAAAAATACAATAATATCTAGGGAGGTATAATTGGAACCCATGTTAACTCCATGGTCTCATCAAATCGAACATTACATACCCAACAGGAATCGTGTGATAGCATCCCAACTGAAAAATACAACGATTCAAAAGATGACAACCGAGATTGTTTTCTGTATCAGAATAAACCTCGATATTTTCGGATATGGTTGGAGTTTTGCAACACGTTTCAATACAGGTTAATATTGAAAGATCTTTAACATTTTGTCTGGCATCATTTGAGTATAGATGATTTTTAATGAGAGTGATATAAATTTGAATTATATTTTAGGACATAGACAATATGAGGCGTTGGCATTGATGCTATAGAAACCCAATTAAACACCATTTGTGGAATAGAATGAACATCTCTAAAATATCGAAATGAATGGTTTATAAATCCGCAACCCAAGTTATGAATGCAAAAAGCTATGAATTGCGAAAAGTTCCTGAGAAATAAAGAAGATGAAAGAGAAAAAATGCAATTGAAACCAATCACATTGATATAAGACCATTGGTATAAAATCATATTTTGATGGGTAGTGTCTTCTATTCAGAGATTTTCTATTCTTTCTAAAATACCTGATATACGTTTAGCTTTTTCATCAGTAACAGCAATAACTCTAAAAAAGTTTTTGGTTGAAAATTTCGCCTTTATTACTGGAAACTTGCACATAGTCACTATCATCTAATGCACTTGACTGTCTACTATCAGTAAAACTCATCAAATAAAAATAAAAGTGGACAAAGTTATCAACAAATTAAATAAGAATTATGTCTTTCAACAGTAATAAATATACATTTTGATTTAAATACATGTTTTTACCTATGGAACTTATAACAAGTTACAACAGAACATCACACAAGTTGTTTAAGACCCTGTATAGCGCATGCCATACTTTCAGTGTTACACATCATTACAGTGACACTAATTATTTCGTAAATTCTTTTTAATTACAAATTTCTATAATACTTTCTAAAGTTTATTACAAAAAATAAAATATGGCCCGATTGTTGCACTCAATATTAATTTTATTTCTTAGGGGAATAACTATTAAACCGGTTATCTGCCCTGGTAGAACAGACATTAACTTTGTACGTAATTTGGGATTGCCTGCTTTTGGATTTTCACCAATCATCAACACTTTTCCACGAATGCATGCTAATGATGAATACTTAAAGGTTGATGTTTTTCTTCGTGGAATCGATATTTACATTGCGATCATTCAAGCATTAGGAAGCATGGAAATGATTTTAAAATAGTTTTTATAACTTTGTGCATGTAAAAAGTAGTTAATTATATTTTAACCTAACATTGATTTTACTTTTTTTTAATAATAAAACTAAGATACTAAAATTTTGAAATATAAATTTGTTCTTAGGGGATTAACAATAAAAAAAGTAATGTGTCCAGCTAGAACTGATATAAACTATTTACGCAACTTGGGTTTGCCTGCACTTGGATTTTCACCAATGATCCATATGCCTGCATTAATGCATGCTCACAATGAGTATCATAACGTGGACATTTTCCTTCGTGGAATTGACATCTACATTAAAATAATCACAACGCTTGGAAATATGGAAAATATAACGAAATAAATTTTATCATTTTTATTTTTATATTAAAATAAAAAATTTGTATAATTTTTTTATGAATTTCTTATTTGTTTTATTTATTAACGTGTAAATTTGCTCGTAGGGATTTAAAAATTAAAAAGGGTGTGAATCCTGGCGAAACAGATATAACTTATTTAAGAAATATTGGAATTCCCGCCTTAGGATTTTCACCAATACACCACACGGATGTCAAATTACACGATCATGATGAATATTTAAGTACAGACGTTTTTCTGCAAGGAATTGATATCTACATAAAAATTTTGCAATCCATTGGAAATCTAAAAAGGCATTTAAATGGGTATATAAGTCAACAACCAGTAGTTAAATTAGTAGAGGAATAAATTCCTAACTAGTTTATGTTGTAGTTAAAATTTTAGAAGTTTCAATGAATCATTAAAAAAATTGGAATATTTAAGGATTAGATTTGATTATTTTGTGTTGGTGGAAAATCCTTCTTTTAACCATATTCTTGTTTGCTTTGTGTCTTTGGGTTTAAAATGCTTCTGTGTAATATTATGTTTGTTAAAATCGTTGACCTCAATTATACCTATCGTTAAATTTCAACCAAAAGGAATGTAGCATGTATCTCATATCATTCGCCATGGCATGAAGTCCACTAAGTTTTTGATGCTAATAAAAACAAGTAGCTGGCATTGCATTTCCTTTTTCTTAATTAGGTAGGGATTACTAATCTAGCTATTGGCATTTAGTTTGTGTTTCGTGATAGTTCTAACTGGCTGCAAAATGTCACCGCGAAAAGAAATTTCTGATGCAATTAGAAAATTGGTGATAAAATATCGAAAAGAAAAGAAATCTTACGGCGAAATTGCCAAAATTGTAAATCTAAGCCTAGCAACAGTCCAGACCATCGTCAAAAAATTGCAATGAGGCTGATTCATTCGCTGTAATGTTCGTACAAGCCAGCCAACGAAACTTTCGAGAAGAGATATTAGCTCGGGATCATCCCTTCGAGTGTCAAGCGAAGAAAAAGGGGGATGTTGTAACAAAGATTGGTAGTCAGTGCCACAAACAGGATAAGCTCTATCTACGCGAACGGAAGTTGCGAGATATAATGCGGTGACCATATAAAAGCCACAAAGCCAAGCATCCTCGCAGCATAAGAAGCGACATCCTCTATGGGCGCTATAAACGATAGTCTGCTATCAAAAGTTACTCCCGGATCTCTGACAGAAGTCAACGTAAGCAGGGAGGCTCTATACAGTAGGATGAAGGGATAGAAGTACACTTCTCCACATTAATCCTGAGCTGATTACGTTAGCATCATTCCACCAAGATATCAAGATCCGCCTGCATCGAAGCCATGTCATCATCCCAGGTCATAGGGCGAAATATTTTAAGATCATCAGCATAAGCCAATACGCCATACTTAAATCTGTTTAATAAGTCGTTAATAAATATTACAAACAGTAGTGGACCCAAATTAGAGCCCTGTGGGACACCAGATTGTGCAATAAACTCCACCGAAGCAAAGCCGTTATAAAATACATAATTGGCTCTCTTTTTGAGAAACACGATGAAACAAGACACATAAGCCCAGGGAAAAAGTCAAACATACTGAGCTTCTGGAGAAGATCGTGATGGATCGCATCAAACGCCTTAGAAAAGTCACTACATCCACTTGACCACCTCTATCCAAGGATTTACATATTACTTCTGTAATCTTCTCCATAGATGAATAAATTTATAACTGGTAATGATAACCTTCCAGCGTTTTTATTCGTGATTGTAGCGCAATTTTTGCTGCCTCACTTTGTGTGATCATGAACTTGTGTCTAAAAACGGGCGAGTTTCTTAAGATCTAAAAGCGATCACGGATCACTCCCTAATGATTCACTCATCAGATGGTCAACGGGAGTGATCCGTGATCGCTTTTAGATCTTNGCCAACGGAACTTTCGAGAAGAGATATTAGCTCGGGATCATCCCTTCGAGTGTCAAGCGGAGAAAAATGGGGACGTTGTAACAAAGATTGGTAGTCAGTGCCACAAACAGGATAAGCTCCATCTACGCGAAAGGAAGGTGCGAGATATAATGCGGTGACCATATAAAAGCCACAAAGCCAAGCATCCTCGCAGCACAAGAAGCGACATCCTCTATGGGCGCTATAAACGATAGTCTGCCATCAAAAGTTACTCCCAGATCTCTGACAGAAGTCAATGTAAGCAAGGAGGCTTTATAAAGTATGATGAAGGGATAGAAGTAGTTCTACGTGTGAAAGTGATACCATTACACTTCTCCACATTAATCCTGAGCTGATTACGTTCGCATCATTCCACCAAGATATCAAGATCCGACTGCGAAATATTTTAAATCATCAGCATAAGCCCATACACGAGACTTATCTGTTTAATAAGTCGTTAATAAATATTACAAACAGTAGTGAACCCAAATTAGTGCCCTGTGGGACACCAGATTGTCCAATAAACTCCACCGAAGCAAAGCCATTATAAAATACATAATTGGCCCTCTTTGATAAACACGATGAAACAAGACACATAAGCCCAGGGGAAAAGCCAAACATACTGAGCTTCTGGAGGAGAAGATCGTGATGGATCGAAAGAAAAGTCACTACGTCCACTTCTATCCAAGGATTTACATATTACTTCTGTAATGTTTTCCATAGATGATTCACTCATCAGATGGTCAACTACTTTAGCGAAGTTAGATATTATGCAAATGCGACGATAATCAATAATGCTGTTACGATTACTGCGCTTGAAAACGGGAATGATCCATGATCGCTTCTAGATCTTAAGAAACTCGCCCGTTTTTAGACACAAGTTCATGATCACACAAAGTGAGGCAGCAAAAATTGCGCTACAATCACGAATAAAAACGCTGGAAGGTTATCATTACCAGCTATAAATTTGTTCAGCAACTTCTTAAGAATATCAAAAACGTGTTCCACTCGCACTATGCAGATTTCATCGTTCATTGCAACTTTACGATTACTTTTGTGAGGTTGCAATGGAACAATTTTGAAGAATTATTAATTTATTTTGCTATTTTCGTGAGTTTAAGAGTTTGAGTTTACTTATAAATCTATTTAAAATGAATAATTATAACTATTAACAAAAACCTTTACCTTATATATGATCCTATTTTAGAAATCATGCAAAAAACCGTTGGGACACTGACTTTTGGAACTGACTGTATATATTAAAATACTAATACATTATTCCAATATATCAGTACCTCATAATTGGACGGTGGTCAAATACTTTATTGACCCACTGTATCTTTCATTCTCTTGTATACTCAATTTTGTGAGCAACTGTACATGTATCTATCGTTAAATTTCAACCAAAAGGAATGTAGCATGTATCTCATATTGCATAACCAGAAATAAGAAAAAAAAAATAAATAAATATTTACATTTCTCATAGATAAATGTAAATATTAATGTTTCAATATCAATAAGATAAACATTAAGAATTAAAATGATGACGGAGTTAAATGTTATAAAAAAGTCTTAGAACAATGGCTTAAAAACATGTTTTGTTAAACTGGCTCAATTAATTAAAGCGACCTCCCCTCTTGGTGCTTGCAATGGACTTGTCCCGACAATATCGATTTTTTCGATGGAGTAAAAATTAACAACTTTTTCGAGGTAATTTCCATCACATAATTTTTTTTACGCCCATTTTTATTATAAATTTTTAATAGCCGTTTTTTACGACCCAATTTAAATTTACCGCCTAATGAATTTAAATGTCAGTTTTTTTTAAATCCCAACGGTCGCCATGACAGTTGTTGTCCGTTGAGTTCCCGGCAAAATACTCGAAAGAAATACTCGTCCATTTCGAACGTTCAAACCACGTAATCGCGTCTAAAAATTACGTTAAAACATCGTGATTTTTTCGAAAAAAAATTTCGCCGTGTTATGACGAACGAAAAAGGTTTTTTTGTGGTAGAAAATTGCGCGCGAAATATCGTTTTTAGTCGACCGTGCCATGTGCAGCGAATCGATCGCTGGTCACGGTTAACTCCATGTTTTTAAACGACCAATCGTGTAACGGCGGGAAACACTCGTGACTCTAGGCAACCAATCGAGAGCGCGCGATTTGAAATCCCTCTCTGTCCTTTGTGGTGGACCTTCAAGTTTTGTATACATCGGTCGGGTGTACTGTGCTGTCAGTGAGAAATTAATTTTTATGATTGAATTTGATGAAAATTCATCCGGACAACGTAATACAACTCAAGAACAACGATTGGTAAGTACTAAATATAACGCACACAATCGCCAACACCTCGTTTTCTGTTATAAACACGTTAAAACCAAGTATTTATTTTTTAACCGAGGAGAACGTGTTCCGCTCATAATGGACTCGTCCATAATGTGCCCGATCCCGCTCTTTTGTATTAAAAACATCTTTAAGTATACTTAAACATTAATTATTTTTGATTTTATTTTTATTAATCGTTAAATTATAATTATTAATTATTCCTTAAATACTTAATTAATTTTAAAAAAAGTTCTTCGACAAAATTTTAATCGAAATTCAATTGTTTTAAACAAATTCTTTTTAACGACATCTTTTATCAACATCACTAAAATAATTTGACGTTGAAAGGTTATGTTTGTTGATAACTTAATTCAACTCGAAAATACACTCGGTGTTTTTGACAAGGCGGGAAATATTCTCTACTCCCTCAAGGTCACTTGGAAGTAAACATTGATACGTACTTGGAAACGAGTATCGAGTTAATAAAAGAACACGGCAGGTGTTTTAAATAATGAGAGCTTACTCTATATAACTTGTAAATAAAACAGGTTGTTTATTTAAAAAATACGAATCAAGTGGTATTTTGTGAACGTCTTTTAAAGTTAGGGGATTTTCAAAGCTTATTATTTAGAAACAAAATCGAGTTATACCGGTTATTTTTACCTAAAATATTTCAAATCCAGTTTTTTTTAAAGTTACAAACGTGTTAAACCGTTTAAGTCAACACCCTAAAATACAAAATCAAAATTCAATTGTATTCTTCGAAGAAAATAAAGAAAGGTTAAAGTCTAGGGGGTTACATTTTAGCATAATAAAAACCAGTCGAATTCTACCTGGGCTATTAAAACCTGAAACGACGTAACCATTAACTAATAACCATTTAAATCGTATCAACGATAGTTTCAAGTCATTAAATGCGTAACTGTATATAATTATAAAGTCGTACTACTATTAGCTTAGACCTGGTTAATGTGTTGCGGGGGGGGGCGATCGTTATGTAGCGAAACTTACGGCAAAATGCAAAATCAAACCGGCCTGGCAGTACGTATACGTAGTAAGTAGTGAGAGGCGAAACGTTTGGATAGTGCTGTACTTTGCCGGCGCAGCTCGAACAGATGCCAGTTTTGTAAACCGGGTGTAGGAGAGAGAAAGGGGGGATTCATTAGGTTTGGGCGGGATGATGGTGTCGAAGAGATGCGGTGGAGAAAGGGGGACAGCGATCGCTCTCCCTCTTCTGTCAATGTACTAGTAGTCGTTTTTAGAAGTGGGGTTCTTGCAAACTCTACTGAGTAGAGTAAGATTTTTTTTTGATTGATGATGTCACGCTACTTCTTTTGCTATACGCACTTTGTATTTAATTGAATTAATGAAATATAATAAATTAGTAATAAACATACCAAGCTTACCTAGGACACTAATTTAGTCAATCATGTTATTCTAACAAAAATATATAAGTTAATTTATTTATTTACATCTGGAGGCAGCAACAGACAAACAAAACATCGTTATTACTAATTACTGATTCTTACCAACAATAAACATTATTACTAAAAAATAAAAATGCTGTACATGGTATTTCGGTGACTTGGGGAACAAGTTTAACCACATATACTGGAGTGAAAATGATGACGATTCATGTAAAAAAAATTTAGTAAAAGTTCTCAAATTTCTAAGATACAGGCCATCAAAGTTAGGAAATTTTAACACATTTTTCTAAATATTTTAAACATTATTTATAGTACAGCGCTAAAATTTGATACAGTATAAATCAATGTCACGTAAAATCGTTAGGTAATTTTGAGTTGGATCGGTCCGCGGGAACAATGCTATACAGGCTGTTCCTAAAATTTGTTTGCATCATAACCCTACATTTATTTTTGCACGTTTCTAATAGTCAATATAGTTTAAAAACTTTAATCACTCTTAAATAATGTTGATAAAAATCAGCGTTTACCTGTTAAATGTAAAAATGTTGGGTTCCGATTTCAATACTAGCACGAAGAAAAAAAAAGAAACCAAATTTTTTGAACATTTCCTTTAGTATTTTTTATTACTTGTCTTGTTATTTTATGTACTTTTTTTTATTATTCCTGTTAGTGTTGTCGTTTTTTTGTTGATTTATAATTTAGTGTTTTTAAATTCTTTTATTAAATCAACTAAAACAAATTAAAAATAGATTTAGCTAAATCTACACTTGGAAATGTTGTTACTCTTGTCGAGATACAACCGCTCCTTACCTTTAAACGGGACACCCAGTACAGGGCCTGTATTAGGGGTTGCAATCCCGGGATTTCAATTCCGCAAATCCCAGAATTCCGTACATATTTAAATCTTGAAAATTATCCCGGGAAATCGATTATAATTTCGGGATTTTCGGGGTTATGTTTATGTCACTAATTTACTATTTTTTGAAGAATAAGACTCGATCTATCGGTTGACACTGCAAGCACGCATTCGATATTACAAAATGACATAAAAAAGACCACGAAAAAGAAATTAAATTAATTTTAAATTGTCAGACTAGGAGTACACTGTTTGTTATGTTGGAGCGGTTCATATTATTAAAAAAATGCGCACGTAAAGCAATGGTTGACATAAAAGAGCCCTTTCTTGTAGATTCACAGTACGAACTTATTAAAGCGTTAGTAACCATATTGGAACCGGCAAATCTGACTGTAAAAGCCTTATTTTAGCGGTGTATTGCACTAGAAAAAGCGGATATAGCATTACAATTTATGATAAATGAGATAAAAGAACAAAATATGTTTGAAAATGCCTAAACAAAAACCTCAAAACCACCTGTCCAGTTAACTAAGAAAGTACTATTCAATACATTGATCCAGGAAATTGATATATTCAATAATGGCGGTAGTATGGATAAAAATCTTCAATTCGCTTTTGAATGTTTGAAAACTATTCCACATATTTCAACAAGTGTGGAATCGGAACGGTGCCTAGCCTGTATACAGGATGTTTCGGTGACTCGGGGAACAAATGTAACCACATGTATTAGAGTAAAAATGATGACAATTCATATAAAAAAAATTAGCAAAAGTCCTCAAATTGCAAAGATACAGACCATCAAAGTTAGGAAATTTTAACACATTAAGGCCTAGAGGTTTGAGAAAAAAATCCTAATCGGCAAAGTGGACAAGAGAAATATCTGGAAATTATTTTGAAGTTCGTAATCTGACCGCTAAGGGGCGTAACTGCAATAAAGAAACATCAAATTCTCGCTATCTTAGAAAGTTAGATGATGAGGTACAACTTTGACAACATCATTTGATAGCTTGGATAATACCGTATCACTTTTGTTTTCCGACATTTTTCATGTCTGTTATAATAAGGGAGGGGGAGGCCAATGCGTTTTCAAATGTTTACATTTCAATATCTCGTAGACCATTCAACCGATTTGAATATTTTTACTCTTGTTTGAAAGAGCATTTCAAGCTCTTTTGACAGATATTTTCAGTAAGACCGTTTAATTTAAAACAAATAAGCTAGAGGGCGTTATCTGCAGCGATTACATATTTTAGTAATTTTCGAAAAAAAGTTAAATGGAACGATACTATTTTAGTGAAAACCGCATTTCGATATTCCATCCATTCTTGAATTATAGAAGAAAATGTCAAAAATTCGTATATCTTAATCGGATCAAGTTACCTTAGAAAACAAATAAGAGAGCACAAAAATGTTATTCCTTCACACTTTATCCAAGCTTAGAACTGGTTCAAAACTACTTTTGAGGCGTGTTAAAAGGCCAACGGATCAATGAAACATCAATAATGACAATAAAGCAAAATAAACCAAAACACTTTGAATGATTCAAATTTTAGCCAAAACTACCTCACTAATGTTCGAAATGCCTTCAATCAATCACGATGTATTTATTTAATCTACTTTTGACAGAAAAAAAAAACACTGCTTAAGTCACACCCCTGGGCACGTTTCTAGTGGCATTTCGTATTTTGTCATATTTTCCCTGGGTTTTGGTTTTTCTTGAAAAATCAGGTCTTTTAGTTACCCCATAGATAGGGAGGGGTGGAAGCAATGTGGGTTTTGCTCGAATCAATAACTTGCATATTATTAGCATATTATTAGACCACCTGCATTATTGAAAGATGCTTCATGCGTCTGGTATAGAATTTGTGATAAGACTTTTGCCCGAATCATATTTAACAGCCAATGATAATAGTTCAGTCTGTGATCATGATCAGTATCTGTTAAGGTCTAAATACATATTATTCTCTTGAGGTATCTTCTGGACAATTGTTTTCGGGATTCCCAGATTATGTAGGATCGGATTGCGCACCAATGTGATTTAGAAATTCATAGAGTTGGTTAAATAAAAACACTTCAAGAGAAAAATATCATTCCTTGTGATAATTACATTTTCTTATTAGCGGTTTTCACTGATATTTACCAAATTTTATGGTGACTAAAGGTCTGTGAAGTAAATAGTACCATTCCATTTAACTTTTTTTTCAAAAATCACAAAAATATGTAATCGCTGCAGATAACTATAAATATAACCATATGCCAGTATAAATAAGAAAATGCATTAGCATCGCCCTCTTTCTCGGAATTTTATGTTTCTCTATGGCAGTTATGAAAAATATGTTGACTTTCATTAAAGTTATTGGTACCTAGCGTTTTTCGTTTTCAAGTTACACTGTTGGAAATAATTCACGAGTACACCCTGTATATTCTAAACGCGTGAAGATAAATCCATAATTGCGGAGCATAAAGTTTACTGTAGACCTGTTTATACAGCGAGTTTCGAGTTTTTCTGTCGCGGCATTGTTGACTGAGCCCCTCCCCCCCCTCTAAGTGGAACATTCCGTCGATATGGAGACCGAAGTGGGTGGGAGATATCGGTCGTTTTTAGGTGTTTTTAGTGTGGTGTCAGTTTGTTGTCGTACTCTGTTCGCAATGGAAGGGCGATCGCGTTATTTAAGCGAGTTTGAGCGAGAATCTGTTGTGCGTATGCACAATGAGGGTGTGTCGTTCCGTGAAATTGCACGTCGCCTCGAGAGGTCATTATCGGCAGTGCAACGGGCATGGCGAGAATGGTCTGAGCTAGGACGTACGCGCCTTCAGCCGAGGCCGGGACGGCCTCGCGCGACTACAGCATGCGAGGATCGCGCCCTTGTCCTCAACTCTTTAGCGTCGTGTACGGCCTCCTCAAGCCAACTTGGAGCTGTTTGGCCAGCGGGAAGGGAAGGCGCACTCACTACGCGAACTATACGGCGGCGTTTGATGGACAGTGGACTGCGCGCGCGTCGTGCGGTACAGCGGATTCCACTGACACCCGAGCACCGCCGCATACGTCACGAGTGGGTCGACGCTAGGCATGAGTGGGTTGCCGAGTGGAGGGACATTTTGTTTTCCGGCGAAACAAGATTCGAATTGAACAATGAAGACACGCGAATTTTGGTTCGTCGGAGACGTGGTGAGCGTCTACTCGAGCAGCGCGTGCAAGAACGGCCTACCCACCGCCAACCGGGCATTATGGTATGGGGTGCGATTACACATGGTGGACGTACACGTCTGCTGCGTGTACAGCAGACGATGACGGGGCAACGATACGTAGATGAGGTGCTACGGCCCGTTGTGCTTCCCTACGTTCGGCGGCGCCGCCCACGTCTGCTATACATGCACGACGACACCCGACCGCACATCGTGCGTGTTGTACAGACATTTGTGGAAGAGCACCGTATACAAATGCTTCCATGGCCAGCTCGTTCTCCGGATCTGAATCCGATCGAACGTATTTGGAGCATGATTGGTCGGAGACTTCAACGTTATCGGGTTCCCCCGGCTAACGTTGAGGAGCTATGGAGACGAGTTAAGGCGGCATGGTTGGCCATCCCTCTCGCTACAATACAGCGACTTATCGACGCCATGCCACGTCGTGTAGCGATGGTACGCGCCGCTCACGGGGAATACTCTCGCCATTAATGCATCCCCTCCCAGCAAAGTTGCGGCACTCTCCATGTGGGGGTAAGTTACACTACTTTGGTACTACTTCCATACCAAATTTCATTGTGCTGGACACAGGCGTTCAGATTATACAAGGTGTGCTCGTCAATTATTTCCAACAGTGTATTACGTTAATAAATGTTAAAAGAAATAACGTAAATGTGAGTATTTATTAACACCCACAATATATTATTATTAAAAAGAGAGAATTTGAAATCAACTAAATTTAGTCGAGGTTCCTTCCGCGCGTGGCGCTGAAATTAATACTGCATCAACTTAACCTTATTAGTTCATATTGCTGCACTTCGATCGCAAGAAACCTCGGCGAATCATGCAAACAGGAACTGTACGATTTAGTTTGATTAAGCAAAGGTCACCTGCCGCATTTTATTACCTTATCAAGCTAACACTTATTATCATTACTCATTAAAATACAAGTCTGTACAGTAAAAAGTCTCCATCAAGATTGCATTATGTCCTCCATCAAACAATCCATTAAGATTTCTTGACGATATAGGAAAATCTCCATGCAGTCCTTGTTAAATCAGCATCAAGTCTTTAAAGTCTGCAATAAAGCTTCTGATATAGATACATAAAGCCTACAATGACCCTACCAAATCTCTATCATACCTGAATCAAGTCCCCATTTAAACAGCTCCGTATAAGGTCTACATTATTTCTGCATCAAGTCCTCACTGTGATTCTATCAAGTCAAATCTATATAGTAAAAAGACTCCATCATGTCCTTATCAGGTCTGCATCAAACTTACATCTAATAATGTAACAAGACTTCCAAGATTTTATGAAATTTCCATGTAGCCTGTATTAAATCAGCATCAAGTCTTTGAAGTCTGCAACAAAACTTCTGAATTAGATCCATTAAGTCTACATCGACTCTACTCTAAATTTCTACTATGCCTGGATCTAGTCCTTACTTTATTTCAAGTCTTTATAGAAAATGTCTCCATCAAGAATATATCATATCCCTATCAGGTCTTCATCAAATCCACACCAAGCAATGCATTAAGTCGTTGTTAAAACAACATCAAGGATTGCAATAAAACTTCTGATTTAGATTCATTGAGCCGGCAGCGAGTCTACTTTAAATATCTATCTTGCCTGGAACAAGTCCGCATTGAAACAGTTCCGTATAAAGTCTACATTATCTTTGCATTTATCTCTCACTGTTAGTATCAAGTCAAGTCTGTACAGTAAAACGTCTTCATCAAGATTGCATTATGTCTCTAACAGGTATGCATCAAATCTACATATAGCAATGCATCAAGATTTTTTCAAGATTTAAGGAAACTGTCCTGCAGTCCTTATTAAATCAGCATCAAGGCTTCTTTAAATCTCTATGATGCCTATATCGAGACAACTCTGCATAAAGGCTCCATCAAATCTACATCGAGACAACTTCGTAGAAACTTTACATCATGTCTGCATAAAGTTTTTATCATGCTTCTAATAATTCAGACTTACTTCCCTCGCTAACTACTGACCTTCTGACTCCGGCGATAATCTTCAAACCATCACGCTGCCGATACTACGCTTGATTTACATCTCGCAATTTTATGCATTGCGAGTCACCAAGATTTTATAAAATTTTAATACAATGTTTATTAAAATTGTATCAAGTCTGAAGTCTGCAATAAAACTTCTGATTTAGATCTATTATGTCTGTAGGGAGTCTACGTTAAATCTCTATCATGCAAGGATCAAGCATTCACTCATCTGCAAAAATTATTTTGCTCAAAAACTCCGAGCTCAACAAAATATGCTCCTAATCGACGTTGCTGATTTCTTTGTATTGTCTTTGTAACCTGCTGAAGAAGAATGAGGCTGATAATTTCAGCAATGATGTTGCTGATTTTCTGTTTCTAATAGTCCATGATGTAACTGTATCAAATAATAAATATTTTATTTGACAAAATATTTGTCAAAGTTGACAACCAAACCTGATTATAATAAAAATTTTTGTTAATGACTATGTAATTATAAACTGTTAAAATAATGCAAAGGTAGAACTTGACTAAACTCTCTGACATTTAATACTTAAAATAATTATTAGACCCACTCTGAAATTATATTAAAATTTTAAGTACAAGTTGTTAAAAATAATAATATATGTATTTTTGAATTAATATTATTTTCTTTATAGGATGTTGAGAAAATGTCCGCAGCAATGGACATGTACTTCAGTATGACCGATTCACTTTCCTTGCAAGAAATGTTAGACATTGATATAAAAACTGAAATAGACTCGTTAGTAGGCGGCCATAATGATCTTTCCGGATTCAATTTCTCCGATTTGCCCCCCTTAGAATTGGATGATCATAGCGATATTCGATGGTTTTGTAATAATTCGAACCATTCGACGTCAAGTATCGGCATCGGAACTGGAGCGGACACCGATCTGCCAATGGTAAATCCGAACGCTGTAATGCCAATCATTTCACTCTCGCAAAGTATTCGATCGCCGAGCCCGCAGCCGAAAGAGAGTCATTTAACATTTTCGCCGGCGAATATTAAATTGGCTTCCATGAAACCTGTAGAATCAGCGGCGTCGCCAATTACAAATAGTCGATTTACTGTAAAGAAAGATTTAATGAAAAATTTGAACGACATTGAGGAGAAGAAGCCGGTGATCAAATCCATACCGATTATTAAAACGGTCACAAAACCGTTATTAACTTTTAAAAATACTATACAAAGACAAATGTCACCACCGGTTACGGTAACTCATATCAATCACATAACTAATGTAAGAACAATAACTCATCAAAGAAAACAAAATAATAACAACAATCATCGTGTTTACGATGACGAACTACGTTCGTACCCGAAACCTGCTTATAGTTATAGTTGTTTAATAGCTATGGCATTAAAAAATAGTCGAACGGGAAGTTTACCAGTATCTGAAATATACAATTTTATGTGCAAACATTTTCCGTATTTCAAGACTGCGCCGACGGGTTGGAAAAACTCCGTACGACATAATCTCTCATTGAATAAATGTTTCGAAAAAATCGAAAAACCCACGATAAACGGCTCACAAAGAAAAGGCTGTTTATGGGCTATGAATCCTACGAAAATTAGTAAAATGGACGAAGAAGTACAAAAGTGGTCGAGAAAAGACCCATCAGCGATCAGAAAGGCTATGATTTATCCGGATAATTTAGAAGCTTTAGAAAGGGGGGACTTAAAATTTTCCTGTACATATGATGAAGCCGATAACTTCGGGGATTCTTGCGGTAGCGCTGAAAGTGAGGAAGGATCCGATTCTGAAGCTGAAATGGAACAAACTATCGAAGATGTCGTCGATGTTGTTAGTACTAAGGAGGAAATTGTTGAAGAAGAAGATATGGGTGAAGATTATGATGTTGAGGTAAAGTATAAATATAAATACAACAAATAATAACATACAAAGATAAATTTGTTTCTTGATAACTAAGAAATTCATCGACAGAAAAATATCATTGAATTAAAAAAAACATTTTTCAATTAAGGCCGTTTGATCTTTAACAATTTTTCTGTCGTTCTCAAGATCAGGTTCAGCTTCATGATAAGGTACTTCTCAGAGCAGAAACAAGTATTCACTCTTTAACCAGGCTTGAATTGGTTATTAGCGACACTGCATTATTTCACCACTCATTTAATGCTGATAACTTCAACACGAACCTTTCATCTATAAAAACCCTCTACCCTACCTGATTTGAAATTAAAAAAAATTTTGAACGCAATCGGAGATTCATGGAATGGAGATATTCATAACTGCTCACCGACAAAGGATTGGAGCATAGCTTCAATTGAACCATCTTCTCTGATTGGATTGCTTCAAATTATGAAACCAAATCTGGTGAAATATGTCTGATTCTTGATATGCGCGTCTCTAATGAGTTCCAGATCCTCAAACACTCGTTTTATGCATTGTTACGATAAGCTTACAATGATTTGTTGAGTCCTGAATTGCTGTTGAGGTTCTCTTGCAAGTTTTTGAATAACTTCGTTGCTTCTGGTGTGTCTCAATCCCACAAGTCCATAATTTTTTGAGCTGTACTTTGTGTCAACTTGTTGCCATCTCAATCCTTTTGTTAATCGTGTTCTGGTGAAAAAGAGATTTTTAAATTTTTTTAAAATCATTTACTATTAAGCAAAAGCTGATTTCAATGGAACTGATTTGGTACAGTTCAAAGTGAGGCTTCAGTTTCATATACATACATATATGAGGCAAAAGTCAATATCTTAATTCGAAGAGGATTCTTTTATTATTTCTGGTTTAATGTGGAGGGACACTTTGGATTTCACATTAGAACTGTGCTATTCATGGGAACTATACAGTGCTGTATAGTTCTTTCAAAGTTGTTTGATTCTTGCCATTGACTTGCACAAGTATTGAATCCACATTAATATTTTAATTTTCCTGGTGCTAATTCAGTCTGGATAAGATTGAGGTTGTATTGTGTTGGGTATTCAGGCCTTTACCAGCATTATAATTTATGGTAAGCTGTTACGGGACCATAAATGTACACAAAATGTTGCAAGCGATGGCTACACAGTAACGAAAATGAGTAAAATGATTTCATTTTTGACAGCCAAATCCAATGTCTTTATGGAAAGATGAAAAGCATGATTGTCTAGAGGTTCTCTTCGTTTTTTTTGATAAAGAATTCTACATAATTTACAAATTCGGCTTTTATTTACTTATATTTATTTAATAATTAATTTTCCAGAAACGTGGAAACAGAAAAAACATACAAGAAAAGAAAAAGAGGTGTTGACTTCGGAATTGACTGGAGTCATAGTGAGTATGGTTGCTCGTTTTTAAGCTGCGAATTATGCCTCGCAACGAATTCCTTTTATAATGTTTGTTGGTACCCTTAAGAAGTTGGTTTTGTTCATATTCCAAATCCACCCCTTAAAATGGATTCCGAAACAAAATTAAATCTGGATAAACACATTTGGTAAATACATGGTCATTCACATGGTTACTTCATCTCTCAAGCTTTTTCTCTATCATTTTCTCCAATACTTTCATATTAATACAATACTTCGTGATTAGATTATTTTGTCTCTTTTCTGTTTTTAAGGATTTCAATAGTCGATAGAACAGTTTCTGGTTTTCTGCGCAACTCTTCTATTTTCTCTCCAAATGTTTTTTATTGTTCATTTTTAGCAGCAGTTGTCGTTTCCTTTACCTTCTTCCTTTCTCTTTTGTAATTGTTGTAACTTTCCTTCATACCATATTATTTTATGATTAGTTAGGAATCATAGCTCCTCCATACCTCCTTCTTTTATCATCACATGCTTTTTTATTTCTTCGGGCCTCCATTTATACTTTCTATTATCATTCTTCCAATTTATTCCACACACATCTGCCATACTCAATATCACATATTTTAAGCATTCCCTATGTTATCCTCTATGTTTTCACATCCCATATAAATTTTGTTAATCTCCACATTCCTATCCATTTCCGCTCGAATTCTTCTATTGTTTCTATATCTCTCAAGTTATACATTTTGATCATATGATTTATTTCTGCTTCTGTATGTGCTCTTGCGTTTGCATTGTTCTCTCTATTCTCTGGCCTTAAATACTACAAATTGGTCACCTCTACGTTTCCTTTCGGTAGTTTATAGTTTCTGTTATGCCTTCAATATCATCTTCCAATTCCTTAAACTCAAGTGCCATTTCTTTCATTCACAGCATCTGCACATTCCATGCAACCAGCTTCCCAATTTCTGTGCATCATTGTCATGTCCTTTTCGATGCCGCTGTCGTTAACCTTACTCATATCTTGTTTTTCTACATAGTTCCATAATGTATTACTTACTTTTTGGACTCGCTCATCTATGGTGTCTCCTTTTGGTGTTGCAAAACGAATTTACTGCTGAAATAACTCTTGCTGGATGTCATTAATGGTTTATCCACAAATTTGCATAACACTAGAGATGATACAAACAAAATTGAAAGGATCTCCTATGCAGATCATGAAGCTACTAGGGATGAAAAAGTCTTAACGAGTCTTGACTAACAGGAATACTGTCTGAGTTATCTCTTAGATTACATTTGCCTACTGCAGTGTTAAAAAGGCAACTTTTTTTCAATCCTTATATCACTGTGTTGCAAATTTATAACCAAACGAAAACCGTTGCAAGATAGGCATATTTTTCATTAGTTAATTCTAGTTCCTTCCCTCATTATAGGCGACCAAAGTGTTCATCTTTCTAAATTTAAGACGTTTCTCCTGATGATGATGCATAAATATCGAAACCGGTAAAGCAGGATACTTATAAATATCACCCTCAAAGTGCAAAAAAGAAATTAATGTTATTTCAATACACAAATAAGACTCTTGAAAGTGTAGACATAAATGCACATCGAAAGTTTTCGTCGCATTTGAATCGAGTTCTGCAACATATTCTATGTCGATAAATTTCTTTGTTATTAAAACCAAAAACATTTAAGACATAAATACCGATTCGAAATATTTTTTTAATTAATTTTTATTTAATTATTTAGGTAGCTGATTCATTGTATGAAGGTGTAGAAGTAGCAGATGAAGAAGAATATTTACGCGTTCAAATGGCGTTAGCGCAAAAAGAACTGCTTGAATATGGTAGGACGGTTAGTATAAAACGAAAACGGGCGGCGTACGTTATCTAAAAAGTGCTGAAAAAAAAAGGACTGAAAGACGAGTGTTTTTTCTGCACGGGCTGAACTACTTATTCGAAAAATTTTGATGGTTTTTCCAAAAAACGATTAAATTCGAGTGCAGTTTGATATAGTTGTGGATTTTCTTTAATAATGTAACATTAACTTCTTAGTTTATTTGTGTATTTCTAATAATTTTCTTCCATTCGCGAAATTATTAGCGGAAAAATTGATTTTACTTAAAAAAATATATATATGAAGAGATGAACTATCAATGCTGTGTAGAAATGGTGATAAACGGACATGTATATATTATTTTCCTGCCCTTTGATATAATAATTGATAAAGTGTAAATGTCGAAGATTTGTAGGCTAATTAAAACAACGTTACAGTAAATTTTCACTTTAAGGTCGTGCATATCGTTGACTTTAACTCTGTGCATGATCGTTTTGTGTAGCTTATATATTTATTTAAACTAAAGAAAAAAAGAAATGAAAACAAAATGATTAAAAGATTAAAAGTTAGTTAGTAACAAATGTGTTGTAAATACTTTTTTTGTATTTGTAAAAGAAAATGTGGATTTAAGTGGCAATGTATGTGTTAATATTAACTAACGGTCACCTAACCAGTATTTCAGTAGGAAAAATCCTCGTTATTTTTTTGGTTTTTATAGTATTTTTCCTTGTATCGGAAGTTTCGTAAAAACCACACGGATTTGGATAGATTATTGTAATGTGCCTTTGCTCAATGTAAGGTTTCTTTTCCGATTTATATTAACATTTTATTTGTTTCTCGATCTAAATATAGTGGGACCACGCCAAAATTTTATATTCATTCTTCTTGAGGTTGTTTTAATTGCGAACGTCGTTTCTTACGAAACAATTTAAACAAAGGGACTGACAATTTGCTTTTTCGTTCTTATTTTATTTCTTAGTCTACAGTGCGTACTAATCTAAGAAAATCACAAAAATCTCTTGTGCTAATTTAACGAGACCCGTTTGTGTTCGCCGTTTATCGTGTAATAATGTATTCGAACTAACAATAAGTAGTGGTTTTCGTTTTAATTATTATTTACGTTTATTTGTTTTATTTTTAATTTTTTTTCTTGTTAATTCGGCACAACAGATTTTTTACATTTAGAATAAATAATAATTTAGTTTTTAGGAAAGAAATGTGTATTGTACTTGTAACAGTTTAATAATTGCCCTTAACAATTAGCTTAGATTAATATTTTGTAATTTTGTAACTTACATTGTACTGTAAGTGAATGTACAAATTTTGTTTGTAAAACTAACGTATTTCAAATAAAAGTTGTGATTTTTTCGATACTTTTTATTCTTTTTTTAACTATAGGGAGAGAGAATATGTCTTTATTCTCCTATGGACCTACTTTTGCAGGTCTTTCCACTATAGTAGAACATTGTTACAAATTATTTATAATTAATAGATACACATCATTTTTAATTTTTCTGAAAACTAGGATAGAAAGGGCAATTAAGGAAGAAAAAGAGCGAACCTGCAGAAGAAGCTACCTGGAAGATCTTGCGTAGATAATTTATTCACGCTTAGACACCTAGTTGAGAAGATGCTGCCAAAAGGAAGGGAAATACATATTGCATATATAGATCTGAGAAAAGCGTTCGATATGGTCCTGCTTTAGAAATTATGGAATGCCCCAACAGATGCAGGCATCAACAGAACTTACATTCATGCTGTGAAAGCTTTATAGAAGGATAAGGCGACAGAGGTTCAGGTAGGAGAACTCATAACTGATGCTTTCTCTCCTACAAAAGGTGTCAAAAAGAGATGCTGCCTCTCCCCCACAATATTCAAGATCTATATCCACTCAACCCTAAAACATTAGAAAACGAAATGCAACCCGATGGGAATATGGATAGGAGACAGCCACATACACACAAGACGAAGAGGATATGAGGTATATGTTAAATAAACTTGAAGAAGAATACAATAAATGGGGCTTGGAAATGAGCAACGATAAGATCCAATATATGGAAAGTGAAGGATAAAACATGGCAACTTTGGCACAATAAAACATGTAGACCAATGGGATAGTTATAATCGAAGACGCAAAGGACAATAAAGTTGTAATGAGGAAAAAAGCGATAAAGGCAATGCATTGAATTCTGTGGAATAATAACCTAACGATACAAACAAAGAAAAATATTTTTAGGACCATTATAGAACCATTAATGACGTGTGGGTGAGAGACAAAGACACAACTCGAAGACTACTAGCAGCAGACATAATGTTTTGGAGAAGATGCTGCGGCATAACCATGCTGGACCGAGTTGAAAATGAGGAAATAAGACGAAGACAGCACAAAACTCAATAATAAATGAAAAGCAACTAAAATACTATCGACATCTACGCCGAATGAATAAAGAGGGAATCCCACTTAAGGTTTGGAACTGGGTGCCAGCAGAAAGAAACAAAAGAGGTAAATAAATTAAATTCTCTTATGTCAAACGCTGTCAAAAGTCATGAAGTTGATGTCCAGGAAGACTGCTGCTGTGCGTTTATTTTGTAAGTGTGCTGTTTCGATGTTGTTGAATAAGATTGAGAGAGGAAGGGAATACCTGAATTGGTATGTGGTACCATGTACCGTCCAAAATTGCTAACTCCCCGAGATAAACGAAGCATTAGAGAAGAAGTTATCGTAAATCCTCGGACACGTGTCCCCAAAAATAGCAGCAAGCCGGTTTTGTTCATATTCCAAATCCCTTAAAATGGATGACGAAATAGAATAGTTTCTGGTTTTCTACGCAACTCTTCTATTTTTTCTCCAAATGTTTCTTATTGTTCATTTTTAGCAGCAGTTGTCTACTTTCTATTATCATTCTTCCAATTTATTCCACACACATCTGCCGCACACAATATCACATATTTTAAGCATTCCCACTTATCCTCTATGTTTCCACATTCCATATAAATTTTGTTAATCTCCACTTTCCTATCCATTTATCCATCCGAATTTTTCTACTGTTTCTATATCTCTCTAGTTATACATTTTGATCGTATGATTTATTTATTACTGTTTTCTGTTTGCTATTGTTCTCTGGCCTTAAATACTACAAATTGGTCGCCTCTTTGTCATTGCTTTTGTTTCTTGCTTTTCTCCACTGCATATTAGTACGTTTCCTTTGGGTAGTTTATAGTTTCTATTATTCCCATGATATCAACTTCTAATTCCTTAAACGCAAGTGCCATTTCTTTCTTTCACAGCATCTGCAATATTTCATACAATCAGCCTCGAAGTCCCTGTGCCCTCTCTACCTGCAGTTTTCCTTTGCCTGTTCATTGTATGGAAACTAAAATGGTATGGACATCTACGCCGAATGAGTAAAGAGGGAATCCCACTTAAGGTTTGGAACTGGGTGCCGTCCAAAATTGCTAACTCCCCGAGATAAACGAAGCATTAGAGAAGAAGTTATCGTAAATCCTCGGACACGTGTCCCAAAAATAGCAGCAAGCCGGTTTTGTTCATATTCCAAATCCCTTAAAATGGATGACGAAATGGAATAGTTTCTGGTTTTCTACGCAACTCTTCTATTTTTTCTCCAAATGTTTCTTATTGTTCATTTTTAGCAGCAGTTGTCTACTTTCTATTATCATTCGTTATAGTTTCTATTATTCCCATAATATCAACTTCTAATTCCTTAAACGCAAGTGCCATTTCTTTCTTTCACAGCATCTGCAATATTTCATACAATCAGCCTCGAAGTCCCTGTGCCCTCTCTACCTGCAGTTTTCCTTTGCCTGTTCATTGTATGGAAACTAAAATGGTATGGACATCTACGCCGAATGAGTAAAGAGGGAATCCCACTTAAGGTTTGGAACTGGGTGCCGTCCAAAATTGCTAACTCCCCGTGATAAGCGAAGCATTAGAGAAGAAGTTATCGCAAATCCTCGGACACATTCCCCAAAAATAGCAGCAAGCTTTCAAAATCAAGTTAATTAAACTGTAAGTGCAGAAACTGTGAGAAGAGTTTTGCGATCTGCCAGCTACAACGGACGAGTACTTTGAAAGAAACACTACATTAGCAATGTAAATAGAAAGAAACGTATTGAATTTGCATAAATGCACAGAGAAATGAAGGATATGGATTTTTGGAAAAGGGTGATGTTTTCAGGCGAGTCAAAATACAACATTTTTGGATGTGATGGTAGGATTTGATTGATTTGATTTAAAAAATCTTCTACCAACAGTTAAGCATCATGCTGCGGGGATCTATGGCTGCTTCAGGAGCCGGGAATTTACTTTTTATCGATAATATAATGGACAAATGGCAATATTTAAATATTTTAAAGGCCAATTTAAAACAAAATGCTATACAATTGGACCTCGGAAATAGTTGGATTTTCTAACAGGATCAAGACCAAAACATATAGCGCATGTAGTTCACGAATGGCTTTTATATAATGTGCCTAAGCAGCTGCATTCTCCACCACAGTCACCAGATATTAACCCCATAGAACACGTGTAGGATTATTTAGAAATAGCAATTACAAAACACAACATTGATAGTAAGGAATCGTTAAAAGTTGTATTGCAAGCAGAATGGGGAAAAATTCCGATTTCTTATGCTGAAAAGCTTGACAAATCAATGCCTAGGTTGAAAGCTGTACTAAAAGCGAATGGAGCGAATGGACTACGCAGATTTCATCAATCATGGCAACATTTGGAACTGTACGATTACTTTTGTGAGGTTGCAATGGAACAATTTTGAAGAATTATTAATTTATTTTGCTATTTTCTTGGGTTTAAGAGTTTTTTTTTTACTTATAAATGTGTTTAAACTGAATAATTATTACTATTAAAAAAAAAGCTTTTATTTACAATCTTATTTTAGAAATCATGCAAAAACCGTTGATGATGACTTTTGGGACTAACTGTACATATATAATTATGGACCTACGGATTTAATTTTCTTGCGATATTTTTTCCTCTGTAAATACGTATATAGTATTCGTCTTCGCTAATACCTGAGATAGACGTTTTGCGTATTGGTGCTTTTAACTAAATTTTATAATAAAATATTTATTTTTTTATAATAAATGACATCAAAAATAATATAAACAATATAGCGCCATCTATTAAGAAATAGAAATAATAAATACATAGATAACTAAACGCTCTTTCTTTTATTACTTATTAATAACGCAATAATTAAAATATAATAATTAATTAATAAATCTAATTTTTTCTTACAACTTTAATTTAACACAAACATTTAAATTAAATAAACTAATTGACTTATAGAAAATGCGCCATCTATAAAACCCGTTATTTTTGACATAACATTTTTACGTCAGATTTGAATAGTTAGGTTATGTTACGTCAATCAAAATCGAACATTTTAAGTCCGTATAAAGCGTTATCTATATATTAACGGAAGTGAATGTGATCAACATTTTAAACGTTTCCTTTTATAAAATGAAGTTTTTAACGAAAATCAACGTTTATTTCTTTCTATTAACAATTTATTTTAAAACAACCTTGTGCGAATCCGAATGGATAGATCCGTTTAACATCGACTTTGTTGCAAACGAACGACTTAAAGAGCCCGAAACAACTACGAATAACTTAAGTGGGGCTTGCCCTGCTTCTTCCAGTGGTGCAATGCTATATTATAAGAGAACGATTAATTTGCTGTTGTCTTCGGTGGTTCATGATGAAATTTCTGGTAATTATAAGGGTAAATTGGTTATAAATCTTCAAATGGACGATTTTAATGTGCTTAAAGAGTTTAGTAATGGTGAAATTGACGAACCGTTAATGTTGAAAAAGATTAATGATATTATAACGAATACCCTTGAGATGACTTTTGTTGATCAGATTGAATTAGCTTTCATTAATTGGACTGAGATTTTTTATAATATCGTTAAGAGCCAAACAACTTGGTTTGTTTTGATTACTTTATCAGTTATTTTTGTTGTTTATCGTTTGCTCAATGCAAAATTTAGTGCTAAAGAAGTTTTTTGTTATGTTGCTTTATTGGGGTATGTTTTTGATTTTTGTATCACTTGGAAGAGGATATTACAAGAGCATGAAATTAATCAATATGCTGATAGCTTGCAATATAAAAATATACCTTCGGATTGTTTTCCTAAGGATATGAATGGATGGCAAGTTTTTATGAGCTATTTTAGTAAGTTAGTTGTAACAAATTTAAATATTGTTATTATTTTTTGATTTTTTAGAAACCACAACTGATTGTAGGCAATACTACAAAAACATGATGTACGATTTTATTTGGGAAGTTGGACCATTAGATGTAATCGCACACCAAACACGCGTTTTTATACAAATCTTTGGGAATATCGGCGTTGCTATATCTCAAATGGTTTCTGGTTTTATGACGAATTTTCCTTTTCCTTTAAATTTAATCCTTTTAATTCCTTTATTACTTTTTGTCCTCACCTTTATGTGTATTATTTTTACTTATTTTACAAACACCCAAATTTATATTAATTTGATGTACATAATACAATTTACTTTAAAAAAAACTCCAACTCCAACAGTCGTGTATCGAGAGGAAATTCAAGAGATTTTGGCGCCAGAGAAAGAATCGAAAACAATTAAAATTGCGCCTAAAAATAAAGAATCCAAGAAGAGTGTTGAAACGATAAAACTTGAAGATGTTGCAAATGAAAGTGATGAAAAAACAGTGCGTTTAGTTGAAGAACCTTAATTTTTAATTAAATCATTATGCTTTGCATTCCTCATTTTGAATTAGATTAATTTAATTTATACTTGTAAATATTAATTTTTGTCTAATAAAAGAAATATTAATTTGATGCATTTAATACAATTCACTTTAAAAAAAACTCTAACTCCAATAGTCGTGTATTGAGAAGAAATTCAAGAGATTTTGCCCTCAGAGAAAGAAATTAAAATTGCGCCTAAAAATTAAGAATCCAATAAAGAATGTTGAAAAGAAAAATTGAAAATGAAAGTGATGAAAAAACATTGTGTATAATTAAAGAATTTTAATTAAATCATTATATTTTGCATTCCTTATTTTGAATTAGATTATTTAAGGAAAAATTCAAAATCGACAATGTGAAATGACCCAAAAAACACGTTAAAAATAAAAAGAAAGTGCGGAAAAGTGTAGAACATACCGAAAAATCAAATCAAAGTTTCAATGTGACGTCACAAGCATTTAACCATGCATTTTCCTGTTAAAGCGGTCAACACCTAACCCAGAGATAATACTCTATTATTACCTACAAATTGTTTATTTTATAGCCACGCACAAAATCAATCTGATAATCTTAAAAGTAAAGTTATTTTCACTAAACTAGGTGAGATTACAACGTATACAGGATGTCAAATGTCTGGAATATAGCCAATAACTTTACCATTTGTGGTTTTAAAGAAAAATGTTTCAAATAAAAGTTTCTTTATTAATTGTGGCGCATTTTTTGGCGATATTTGCTTGTTTACATTGTTTTTTGTTTCGTTGCCATGGCAACCAACATTGTTATTTTACATGGGATGCATATGTTTTTTTTACATATTTTGATAGAAGATAAATCCCTCTACGCGATGAACATATCAAATCATATGGTTGCATAAGAAAAAAATCGAGAAAAAATGCGTTCTTTGAAAATATTATATTATTGACAGCTTTAAATGTCAAAAAATTGACGTTAGTTAAACAAATATGTCGCAATTAATCGCAAAGAATCCAAATATTAATGTTGTACGGTGATAGAAATTCACTCAAAGTGGTGTTCAAACTGTTCAATAAATTTACCCCGATACACAATATCCAAAATATTAAAAAAATTCCTTAACACCGGAAGTGTTAAAAACCTTCCAAAAAGAGGACGCCTGAAGACAGCTACCAATGACGAAACTACATTAAATATGTGTCACCGTACCCATATATTATTAATTATTCATAATTGTTGAAACTGTCACTTTTTGACACTTAAAGCTGTCAACGGCGTTATTTCGGTGCCTACTTTGATTGTAAATTACAGATTTAATATTTTCAAAACACGTATTTTTTTCGATTTTTTTATACAACCATATGATTTGATATGTTCATCGTATAGAGGGACGTATCCTCTATCAAAGTATGCAAAAAGAACATGTGCATCTCATTTAAAATAACAATATTGGTTGCCATAGCAACGAAACAAAAACAATACAAACAAGCAAATACTGACAAAAAATGCACTACGATTAATAATGATACTTGTATTTGAAACATTTTTCTTTAAAACCACAAATGGCTAAGTTATTGGCTATATTTCAGACATTGTAATCTTAGTCAGAAATATTTTTGACGTTTAAATGTCAGTGTTTTTCTTACTATTATTATTGTTTTATTTAAAATTTTGAAACGTCGAGTGAACGAGCGTTGATGCGATAGAACTTTAATCATAAATTAATTTGAAAAACAATAATAATAATAAGAAAAACACTGACATTTAAATGTCAAAAATATTTCTGAAAAATTGCAAATCCTACTAAAATTTTTTTATTAAAAATTCATTCCAACTTAACAGTTGGAATGACAACCCTACAGCTTAACAGTTAGTGTTTTCTTAATTAATCTTTTTTCCGAAATTATAAAATTTTCGAAAAACATCAGAGAGACAAAAAAGGTTTAGAATAGTTTTATCTAAATGAAATTTTTTCAATGTATTTATCATCTTCATAAAAAAAAAATGGTCATAAAGGTTTTGTAACTTAGAAGTGAATATTGAAAGTCCAAATAAGTTACGAACGTGTCCTATTATGAGCTAAACTTATTCCTTAAATTTCATTTTCCTGGTGTTTATAGTTCTCGAGAAAAAAAAAATTAAACCAGAATTTTCGCCATTTTTGGAGGGGCGTTGCTCCTTAGGGGAGCCAAAATCGCCCATGGTTCATATATTATAGTACCTTTAAAATTCACTAAAGAATCACCCCTTGAAGTTTGTTGCAGTCATTCAGATGCATCTGTATACAGATGAAACACCTTGTTTTTCTTAGACTTTCGATGCATAACAAGTATCTAGCGATAGGTAATCTATCATTAGATAGGCTGTGCTAACCAATAGACAGAGAAAACTATTTAGTCCCACGTCTCTCAAGACTGCTAAATCCGAATGAGTCTAGTTCTAGGTCTAGTGTTAGTTCTAGTTTTAGTGCAATAAATTATGCAACATAGTGATATCTCATGCTAACTAGCGCCACCTACCACTGTCACTAGAACTAACATTAGATCTAAAACTAGAAACATTTAGGTTTAGCCGTCTTAAGAGACGCACGGCAAAACCCGAATGTTTTTGGTTCTAGGTCTAGTGTTAGTTCTACTTTTCTTTCAATCAAAATATACCACAATGTAACGCTAAATACGTTTAACTTTTCGGAACACTCGCTCTTAATGATACCATAACTACACGCGCGCGGAGTCTGGGTCCGCACATTCAAAATAATGTTTTGTGATGTAATTTTAAATGGAAACTTATTGTAAATAATAAAATGTTCATCAATCACTATAAGAGTCTTATTTATTACATATAAAAATGCAATGTTCAAAACACATATTTATTAAATTTTTTGAATATTTTGTAGGGCACCGCAGTAGCTACAGCAACCTCGTTTTGTAGTGTTTTCATCTTGAGATGTTGTTTCTTGTTGCGGTTCCTCAAACCCGGTGATATCTCTAATTCGCGATAACAGCGGTTTTGATAAAGAACGTTGACGAAGATAGCCATCGATCAACTGCAGCGATTAATTTTGTAGGAATTGTCTTCTTCTTTCCGTACTAGCTGTATTATGTTTATGGCCTCCTAGTGTTTCTTACGCAGTCGTAAGATGCGCAAAGTTTAGTCTACAATGATTTCTGGTTTGCCAGTATTTGTATCTATATTATCACCACGGTGTAGACTTGAGATGAGCGACACATTCTTGTTTTTCAGTAGCATTTTCACGAAAACCAAACATACTGGATTTTTCCGGGCGAGATTTTTGTGGACGTGAAAACTCTTTTGGTATCTCTCTTTTGTTCTTTCGAACCGTGAACAGCAAAGTCAATTTATTATTATAGAGTGCTTCCAATAACTCTATACTTGTAAAGCAATTATCGGTGGTGATGTTTCTTCCAGACCGTTTTATAGGTTCACAAAGTCTTTTTACAACAGCACTTGGGGATTTGTTTGACACATCTGACCGCTTTCCAACATAAACTACCAAATTTGATGTAAAATAAAATTTTGAATCTACCAACGCAAAAATTTTGTTTCCATATTCATTGGGTTTATTGGGGATATATTGCCTAAAAGAGCAGTGTCCTCGAAAACCCTACAACTTTGCGGTTATCGTCATGTAATGGAAAGAAGCGAATGCATTAAACACTTCTCTGGTGGGAGCTAACTTCTTCCTCTTTTTTTGCTTCTCTGGTGTTTCAGGATTATCAAATCGTAGGTTACGTACCAAAAAAAGAAATCTATTTATTGACATTACTAGGCGAAATATGCCATATACAGGTGATTCAAAAAACCGCTTCAATTAAGATGAAAAGTCTTAATATACATGGGCTTGCAAATGCCACCTTAACGATATAAAGGTGTCAAAGTTTCTTTAAAATTGAACATTATCTGCGATAAAAAACCCTTTTTTAAAAATATTTTCAACGCCACTGCTAATTTTGTCAAACGGGCAGTATTTCAATTGGTTTCTTAGAAAACTTTGATTAAAGCAATAGTTTTTGATTGGATTAACAAATTTTCTACAAATGTGTTTGTCTTAAAAACTATTGCTTTGATCAAAGTTTTGTAAGAGACGAATTGATAGATAATTGATCACTTTACACGAAAATACTGCTCGTTTGGCAAAATTAGCAACGGCGTAGACAATATTTTTAAAAAAGGGCCTTTATTGCAGATAGTTTAATTTTAAAGAAACTTTGACCCGCTATATCTCGTTAAAGAGGCATTTGAGATATGTGTATATTAAGACTATTCATATTAATTTTTCATATATTATCTACTATAGAAGTCTGTCAGCGGTTTTTTGAATCAATGTATAATAATAGCCCCAGCAAAGCTTGAATTTCTATTGTATTGGTGTAGGATGTAGGAAGTATCCCTTCCTTGAGAAAAGTTTAGAGCTGACATTTGAATATGTTTATTCGTACATTCGACAATGTTACTCAACATATTGTTAGAAAAAAAAACATTTCCAAATATCAAATGGATTTTTCAGATTTTTAGTGTATGCCTTAGGACCAGGTAAATGTTTCACTATATTTTCAGACCCCGTTCTTATGATTTTTGGTCGACAATGCTTTCTCTCAAGATGGCTAAACCCGAATGATTCTAGTTCTAGGTCTTCTAATGTAAAACTAGAACTAACACTAGACCTAGAACGTATTGGAATTTACAACTCTTTGCTCCATGCCCAACCGACATTTGACAAATTCGCACTGATTTAAATGTTAATTAACCTAACTCAAAGTGGAATTTCTACACAAAATTCTGAAATAAATCGGTAAATTAGGTAGATCCGAATGTAACGTTTAAAGAGGGCATCACGTATAGATTTTAGGTTATCTTTAGATGGTAAATAACCACATTTTAATCGTTGTGCGTAGAAAACCAAGGAAACAACCGTATTTCACTCGAAAATATGCGTTTTAAACAAATTTGCTGCGAAAATATATGGTTAGCACGATCGATGACGTCACGTCGAAACTTTAAAGTGATTTTTCGGTTGTTTCACACACATTTCCGATTTTTTTTTATTTCTACCGGCGTACTTGAGTAATTTCCCGTCGATTAAAAAAAAATTCGATTTTTAAGAGACATTGATTGTCGATACCTAATTTAATTTATGCTTTTAAATATTAATTTTTCTCAAATAAAAAAATGTTTTGAATAATTATTTTATTTCGACATAATTCAAACATATCTTTAAGAGACAGTGACACATTTTTTCCATATCAATCAATAAACTTTAATAAACAAAAAGTAAAAATTGGAAATTAAAATTAAAAAGTCAACACTATTATTTATAATGCGTAATCAAGCTCGTATCTAATATACTGATTCTTGGGATCATTACTTATCCTGGGATAACCAGCAACTAAAGCATCTTGTCCGCCGATATATAAAGAATTATAAATTTTCCAATAAACATCCCTAACTTTTCTAGCTGGATGGAACAATCCTTGTAAAGTGTATTGTAAGATTTTAATCGGCCCCAAAGCGACTCTCATCCCTTCGATGGCATCCATAAATGCTTGTACTAAATGAGGGGATGTCTCAAAGATATTTGGCCAAACGTAATTTAATAAATGAATCAAAGCGTCTTCACAACCGAATCCATAAACACCGAGAGCCATGTGTTTTATGGCTGCGCAAGCGGTTTGTCTGTGTACAAGATCACGATCCATTAATGCATCTTCCAATAATGGGGCAACAGCGTAAATGTAATCTTTACCCATTTCACCGATATACTCAAACAAAAATGAGAGCGATTTTAAAACTCCATTTTGTACGTTTAATTCCGGTACGCGATACTCGTTCATTAAAGCGGGTAAAACAGTGAATGGCGAACAAGTTTCAGCAACAATAGCAATCGCCACTGTTGTGCAAACTCGATTTTGTCTTTCTTGTACTTTTAAATTATTCAATAAAGTCGCTAAGACATCATGGGGACCAATCGCTTTAGCGATATACCCAAAAGTATTTACGGTTGCTCTTCTAATAGCTTTTTTGTGCGCTTTTAACAATTCTAATAATTCAAAACAAATTCGCATCCATTCGCGAGCTGAGACATATTCGGGGCCACGATCGGCGATTCTTCCAACTAAATCAATACAGTTTTCTTGTACTTTTTCGTGACGGTTCTTTAATATCGGTGTTAAACGCGGCAAGAGATCTTTTATTGGAGGGGTCATTTTCGTCATTCCAATTACGTTTACAATCGCTTTTAAAGCTCCTAGGATTGATCCAAGAACTTCAGGGTATTCTTCACCTAAATATTCATACAAAACTACACCTAAATGACCCATTAATTTTTCTTCTTGACAAGTTTTCATCACAACAGCTATCCTGGAGATTAAATCAGCTGCTTGTTGACGAACTTTAGCCGATTTGTTGTTTAATCTATTTAAGAGAAAGATAATTAGAAAAAAATTAAGTTTGTGATTGCTTTTAACTTACCTCCATAAAATTGTACCACAAATTTGGGGTAAATAGGGTTTAACTCGTTTCCCTAATTGATTAACAATCGTTCCAAACCCATTTAACATAACTACATCTTCCGTAGTTTGTTCTTGGAAAGCGTATAAAATTCCATCAATGAGTTGTTCTTCTAAGCGCGAATCAATATCGGCGGCGCCTAAATTTCCCATAATTTTCTCAATACTTTCCATAACCATTTTTCTGTACTGCTCATTTTCATCTTTAAGATCATCAACGATGCGGTTAATAATTTCGGAAGCCCCGACCTTATTCGCAATTTCAACCGTTGTATCAACTAATTGGCGATAATTTCTTCGATCGAGAGCCATGCGGTGGTTCCAAAAATGTTTAAAGAATTGCGGAAGAATTTCCTCTTTAATATATTGAGCTTCAACACCATCAGTAGCGCAACATTGCTTCACTACCTTTAAAACGATCTTTTTCATTTCTTCATCAGGAGATTGGAACTCTCTTATTAAAATCAACATCACCTCCCTAGTGTAATAATTAGCGTACTCAGCGTCCATCAAAGGGATTAAATAACCGATAGCTTTCAAAAACGCGGCTAAACCTTTTCCTCTGTGCGTACGAATACCTTTCCATAACGGTTTCAAAACCGAATCAAAACTTTCAATACCATACGGTGTAGCAGCTTCAGCTAAAGCGGCGATACCCAAAGCTGTAATTGTACGAACTTTTTGTTGTTCATCAACGAGACCGTGCTCAATAATTTCTACTAACGATTTTAAATGGGGTAAAATTGCGCATCCCATTAAAATGGCGATTTGTTGAACGATTTTTATGCCTGTATGTCGAGCTTGCCAGGATTTTTTTGAACGACAAACCGCTTTTAAGAATGGTAATAAAGAGGGAATTCCCAAAGCTGATGCCACAACAGCAAAAGCACGAGCTGTGGTGTTTCTGACATATTCATCAATATTATCAATATCAGGTCGCATTGTTGAAATCATCGTAGCTAATCCAGCTGCTTTAGCTAAATTCGAAATAATTTCGCGACCTTCAACTCTCGCATAATAATCTTCGTCGATTAATAATGGTTCGATGACGACCAAGATTTTATGGACGTATGGACGAACTAAATCGTCTAATTTATAAAGAATTCGATCAATAACTTTCACCAATAAATGTCGTTCTTGATCTTCAAGTGTTGGACTCATCAATAATGGTAAAATTTGATTAAATAAAGGTCCCGCGCCGAATTCTCTCGCTTTGTCAGTAATTTGTCTTAAAGCTGCTTTTCTCATGGGGGGTGTTCCGTTCTTTATTTTTAAAAGCAACTTCATAATTTTCCTTTCTTTTTGTTCTTCTGGGCTTAAACTTTCCTCATCAACATCCACTAATAACTTATCAAAATATTGTGCGTCTTCCGGTTTCATAAACGGCAAATCTTGCCCTTTCGGTTGATTATCCAAATATTTGGCTGTTTTATCTTCTTGTTGAATAAAAAATCCTTGGGGTGTGTTTCCAATTAATGGGGTTGGCGTAGCTGCGAGTTTCCTCGAAGGTGTTCTAATAGGAATGTATCCAGCTGGAGGTGGTAAAATTTTAAATCCAGGCGGAAACATTGCATCTAACTCTTCATCAGTGTAAGGTCGATTTCTTTCATCAATTTCTCGTTCCCAACGATAAGCTTGTAATTGTTCTGGTGTCATTGATGTTAAATGACCTGGAGTTGGAGTTGCCATAGCCATTGCTTTTACACCGACAGGCGTGGAACCTCCCGGAGTTAACATTGGTGTGCTGTGACCTGGTGTTCCATGGGGAGTTTGAGGTGTCATTGCTCCGGGTGTCATTGAAACTGAAGGGGTTGCTGCTGAAGGTGTTTCATCCCAACGTGATCTATAACAAAATGTATTGCACTTATTTCAAGCTGTTTAATCAAAACAGTGTAGAAATAGTGTTTATGAAAAAAAAATTATATTTGGCACTACAAGAAATAATAATTTTATTAAGATGAGTTATTAAATGTATAAAGTATTAATAAAAGTACTCGAGTCTTTCTTACACTTTAATTATTTCTGACGCGTCATTATCATCATCAGAGTCCTTAGACTTTGGTTTTAAGCTCTTTCAGAAAAGCTAATATAAATTCTCATGCTTCAATCTTTAGCGATTTACTACATTCCTATCAGAGTACAAATTGTGTTCAGAGACGTTTCAGCAATGCAACCGAGTTAATTAATCTCCTCAAATTCATTTCTAGACAACTTCTCACGTTCTCCAATTGGCATTGTACTTCGGCCATCCAGAATTATCTCGTTATGATCTAGCGCAGATGCAATCTCCCATAATTAAAGAGACATAGTATTCCCTAGTTTTGAAGTTTACCAATAAACCTGAGGTTTTGATAGCTATCTTAATCTCATATATTAAGATTGCAAAGCCCAAAAGGATAAATCTATAAAAAAAGCTCAAGATCTGATGAATCGCACCCTCCTTTGAGGTTAACTAGAGATGAAAGAAGAATATTCTCGAAAATATTCTCCACTAGAAAATTCTCTGAGGTAATTTCCTCATCGTGCATGGTGGCTCCCTCTGTCGGTATTGACAAAACTCAAACGGTTTGGGAAATTATTTTCTTAAATTTTAGTTTTAGATGACAATGAAATGGTTGTGGATTGAGTGGACTCGATGGTTTTATTGATGTTTCATCAAAAGTTGAACAAGAGAAGCTAGATCAACTATTAGCTAGATCTGTTTATGCTACAGGTACTCCATTTGCCATTGTTGAAAAATAATCACTGGCAAACATTTTTCAAACATTTGAGACCATCTTTCAAAATGCCTGCATGTTGTTATTTATTATTAAATAAATTACTGGACTCCGAGCATGAAAAAGTTGATGCAGACATTAAAATAAAAATTGGAGAAGCGAATGCTCTTAGCTTACAGTGTGACGGTTGGAGCAATATATGTCGTTATACCACAGAATATATTGCTGAAAAAATCGATATTTTGAGAGAAGTTGGTACTGAAAAATACTTTGCTATAGTAACCGACAATGCCAGTGCAATGGCTAAAGCAAGAAATATACTTCATGAAAAGCACAAACATATCTGTTTATGGATGCATTGCTCATACGCTAAATTTGTTAATTAAAGACTATTAGAAGATTACGGAAGATGTTAAGGCTGTCATCAAAGAAATTAACAATTCTCACATTTTATTGGCTACTTTCAAAAAAAATGCAAACTGAAAGAAATGACATCAAAGCAGCTATTTCCTTAAAATAACCTGTAGTTTGTGAAACAGAAGATATACTCATTCCAAGTTGATATTGGACAAAAAAGTTTCAGCAGGTGATAAAAGTTTCAACCTTTTATCACCTGCTGAAACTCTATTGTGAAATATATAACCCAACTGGAAGGAGATAAACCAAGGTTAACCCAAGTAACTGAAAATTTTTATGAGTTGGAAAGTAATTTTGAAACAGCCCTTTCCTCAAGCCCTTTGCTTAACTAAGAGGAAAGGGAAGTAAAAAACTTTTTAGTTAAGAGAAAGCAAATGACAATAATCCAATCCATCTTGCTGCAAAAAATTCTAGATCCGAATTTTAATGGAATTCATCTTAATAGAGACGAACAAATACAAGGAACAGAGTTTATAGACAATATGGCTACTGTAACAAGCCCAGATGAGTCTGCAAAGACAATGGCAGAATTAGCCCTTTATCAATCTAAAGAAGGGTTATTTAGAAAACCATATGTTTTAAAATCCGTGGAAAAACTACATCCCGTTGTATGGTAGAAGGGGACTTGTTTTTAAAACTGTAGTCAAGAGATGTGTTGTTACTTCAAAAAATAAAATAAGGTAAGGTGGAGTAAATGCGTTTTCGGACAAGTGCATTCCAAGCCAATAAAATTATTGTTGTAAGTATATAAGTACATCCATTTAGAGGAATTATTCTGTACTACTCACAGATTGAATTCATAAGTTCTGAACATAAATGTATCACTCAGTTGGTAATTGCTTGTCCATATAGTGAGCTTATGGTTATGGTGCATTTTCTCCACAGTTCAATCTTACTTAAACGACGACAAATAATTCCGACGTACGCACTTAACTCAAGTTTTGGGGTGCTGATCTCTGAGGTGCGACTACCAAATCCGACTCGGTCCTGAAACGGTTAACTGCTCGTGATTGAATTTCTTTGTTATTACATTCAAAGTACTGGAAGCCTTCAGTATCTATAATGTGACTCTAAAAGTCATATTGTATTTATAAAATTCCATTATGCCACCCACTTGGCCGAGTAGGGTGGCTAAATACATATCGAATTTGGAGTTTCTATGCGCTACAATCAAGACCCTTGCTGATAAAATGCCATCGACCTAGAGCCTCGGCCGACCTCAGCGAAGATAAGACATCGCAATCTTCTCATGCAAATAAGTATTGTTTAAATAAGTATTGAGTTTCTTTCGAGATAAGCTGCTTTTGGGTTTAATTGTATTCCAATTGACTAGCTTTATAATTTGGTTGCGATCAAGTAAGGTTTGTTTCAGATTTGACTTGCTTAAAATTGAGTTGCTTTGATTATAGTGTAGAGTACTTTTTTTGAATACCTGAGCTTATTTTTATATTTAACAAATTACTAAAAAATAGTCTTATATTTTTACCTTCTTTTTGAAGCCCCTGGTGTTGGTGTATCTTGAATCAAATCAGCCCCAGTTCTATCTGTTCTCGGTGTTTCGGCCCATCCGCTAGAATGTCCCGGTGTTTCCCTTTCTGTTTTTGGAGTCTCATCCCAACGATTTCTCCTAGATGTGCCTTTATCGTGTGCTGGAGTTTCCCTTCCAGGCGTTGCAGCTCCTGGTGTAGCATCCCAAAGCCTGGTGGATTGCCCAGGTGTAGCTCCTGGCGTTTCACTTCCTTTATGCCCTGGAGTTTCATCCCAACGGTGATCAGCTGGCGTACTCTGCAATAAGAACGATAATTAACACAAATAATAGAATTTTTAATTTAATAATTTACATCTGCGTCCCAAATTGGCGTGGCTGCGCTGTTTGCGGTTGTAACTTGCAAAGTTTTCTTTTTAGCTGGAACGAATGATTCTTCGACAGTTTGATCCCAACGAGCGCGTTTTTTTGGTGCTGTTTTTGCTTCGCCGTTACTTACTTTTAATGAGCCGTCCTTAGCCTTTTCCAAAATCTTCTTTTGAATCTAAATTAAATAAAAAAAAATTGTTTTGAAAATTATTACTTTGAAAAAACGGTATAAAAACCTCGATAAATATGGCGATTAATATGGGGATGGCAGTGCGCATTATAGTCAAAAGTCCGTTATATGAAAAATTTTTAATTTGCACTTTAAAGCCGGGTTTATACAGAATTTAGCTGTAAATTTAAAGATTTAGATTTAAAGATTTTATGTAGCTTTAAGAAAATAAATAAGAAATACTTTAAGAAATAAACGATACATGGGGTTTCAATAGATTTAACTCTTACAGCTAAATCGTCTGTGTAAACCCGGCTTAACCCTTTCAATAGGACTTTTGGCTAATGCAGTAAATTGTGTGTAATTAATGTAATGTTGTTCATTTGGCTTCAAAATGTATGTATGCAAAGTTTAATTCTTTTATCTCTTAGTATTTAGAAAAAAGGGCCTAAAATACATATCTACATATGTCCCTGTAGTAATAAAATAAAAGAACAGTTAGAAAAGAAATTTATCTACAATGAAAAATGAATATACAGGTCGCTGATATGTATGGAAATGATCGATTATTTCCTAAAGTAAGATAGCTAGCGAAAAATGATAAGATAGAAAAGTTTTAGTATTTTTTAAAGTCTATTATAATAAAGACAAATTACCCTGTACTGACCCTGTGCAAATTAAATGTACAGGGTCAGTCAAAAAGTTATGACGAAGAAGAAAGTTACGTTTTCTTTAATGGAACACCTGTATATTATTTCATATTTCGGTTTATCTTGAAATTTTAAACAAAATTCATGTAGCACATCATAAACCTAAACTCAACTGTTTTTCAGATATTGAACTTTTTGAAGGTCACTCTTATAAAGTACACAAAAATTTTTTAGTCGTTTATGTTCATAATTCATCAAGCTACCTTTGAAAGTTTTTCATCTCCATAGCAACGCAGTGACAACACGTATCGTCACTAATTAGATAAATTCGTAAATTTTGAAAAGCTCGATATCTGGAAGACGGTTAAGTTTAGGTCTATGATGTGCTACATGAATTTTGTTTAGCATTTCGAGACGAACTAAAATATGGAATAATATACAGGGTGTTCAATTAAAGAAAACGTAACTTTGTTTCGTCATAACTTTTTGTTTTTGACCGACCCTGTATACTTAATTTGTCCTTATTGTAATATATTTTAAAAAAACACTAAAACTTTTGTATCTTGACATTTTTTGCTAGTTATCTTACTTTAGGAGATAACTGACCGTTTTCATACATATCAGCGATCCTGTATAACTTACCTTTAGGTAATGATTATAGAAACTAAGAGAAATTTATGTAAATATTATCACTACAGGGAAATAATCCTAAAAACAATAGCAGTAGGAGCCCACAAACACCCAACTGGTCTGTAAAAATCTGCTGATAGGAGCCACACGTGTTCATAATCTAAACTAAATGTGATTCACACATAAAGTGAAGTCAGAAGTACTAACAAATCCCATCCCAGTGTATTTTAAAGCAAACATTCTTTGAGATATATACAGGTTGTTTCATGAGCAATGGTACATACGTTAATACATTATAGATTTGGTCATTTTAAGCAGAAAAGTTCCCAAAAACATGTGCTCAACAGCCATGTGTGATATCAAATTAGGCATTAACTGGCTGTATCTCAGTTACCTTTGAGAATTGAGCACATGTTTTTAGGAACTTTTCTGCTTAAAATGAACAAATCCATAACATATTAATATGTATACCATTCCTCATGAAACACTCTGTATATCCCAGCAGTATTGAAAGGGTTAAACTGTTTGTATGAATAATTTTAATCCACACAAATTGGGATAGATATCCCCACTGTGGGGGAATAACCAAGTTGAATATTTTATCTGTTCTAAGGAGATCCGTTATATCAAGGTTACACTGCAATAATTTTACCTCTTTTTCTTCACTTTTGAGCATCTGCTCTTTCATAATCTGGGTGTATCCCCTGGCATTGAAATCTGGTGTTTTCCCACCTGCAAATCCAAACAAATAAAAATAGAATAAACGTAACGAGTTGTACAAAACAGTCATTGCTGTTATTGCAGTATCTGTTCTTCCAGTTTAATTACTTAAGATCCGATAGACATATTCACTTGTTACTAAATTATTAATTATTTTATTGTGGGGCAAATAATAATAATAACACAGGATTGATATTTGCAAAAAGTGAAATATGTTGCTCGAATCTCGGATACGTACGTGCTGTGATTTCCAACACAGGGCGATCTCGTAATCTTGGAAACAAATCGAACCTAGAAATAGGCTGGGGTAATTAATAATTTTTCATTGGCAATGCACGCGATCTTTCACTCTCTTTTTACTTGAAAGTAGACAAGATTAGTTAGATACACGTATATAGACGTTGATAATAACGGCATATACATGTATATTGGGTACTGTATTGGCATCGTTACCGATCGTTCGATCACTTTTGCGATCTACGCCGTCGACTCCACTACAACTGCGCTCTTTCAGCTCAACTCATTTTCAGTGCTGATTCCCTACAGGTCGATAATGATGAAGAACAAAAGATGTATTAGTTTTTTCAATACTCTCTTTGGCGCATAGTTTTATTATTTATTTACTTATTTTTGTATCTTTTAATTTGTGTTGCCTAATCTAAGACTCTACAAAGCATACCTCTTCTCCTTCGACATATTATTTTACAATTTCTTCGTGTTTTTCTCTTTCTATTAATAACATTTACTCACTCAACCATTCAGCATTCATCTACCCCAATAATACAGCAAATATATCAAAATATTATCTGATATAAGATATTATTAAAAAATATACATCTGTGTACTCACCGTCTGCAAAAGGATCAACTCTTTCTGGGGATATTATCATCCTACGCCTTTTCTGACGATATTCATCTTCTCTATCAGCTATCGTTGGACGCCTTCTATCAGCAAAGGGATCAAAATCACCCTGAAACAATTTTAAGTTATTATTATAATTCAAAAATTTTATTATAAATCTTTTACTTGATTAACATCATTAAGGGGAGCTGCAGCCCCCAACCCAGGTCTCTTCTGATTATACCCATCATCCTCTTCCTCATCATCAACTTCATCATTAGGAGCAATGGAGGTTACATATCCCTCGTACTTCCCCTTGCCCATGCCATCATCGTATATTTCGCTATCAAAATATCCGCTCTCTCCTAAACCAACGCCTTTATCATTTGCTACTTCCGGCGGAATTTCTTTCTTTTTCGACTGGATTTCGCGAATTTGCGCTTCAATGTCTACAAGAAATGCACCAAGTTAGGGATCGATAAATAGATGCAACTTTCAAAATAACTTACCCTCGTGAGTCCTCGGGATATTATCCATTGTGGACAGCACGGTTTATACAGATAATACTCGATATGTTTGGATTGTGAGCCTTTTAAAACCTACGCGATTTCATTAAAAATGCTTCAGAAAACTCCGTAATGGAAACGTTGTTTATTGACAATTGACAGGAAGTGGTGCCAATAGAAAAATTTAAAAAGAAACAACTTATTAACTACTTTATTAAAATCAAAATTAATAGATTTAAGTAAGATAATTTATATTTAATTAATTCATCATACAATATTAATTTTATTTTAATTAAATCTAAACGAATAATTATTTGTGCCAATTCTTTAGGGATTTTCTTTGTAAAAAGCGCCCTCTACTTAGATTCAATAATTCATAGAAAGTGATAAACGTCAATTTCTTAGTTGTGTAGAATTGCGCAAAAGTTTTTATTATTAAAATCAACGTAAATAAAACCCGTAAAAATGGGTAAAGGATTCAATAATTACATGTGTAAAAAGTTCTTCCATCCCGCATCGCGAGATAACCTGAAAAGGGTATGGATGGCAGAGCAGAAGGCGGAGGCCTATAAAAAGAAACAAGAAGAGCTTCGACAGCAATATGAAAAAGAACAGGACCTCCACGATAATAAAGCGATGCTTAGTAAAGAAAGCAAAGACAAACTAAGTATAAGTTTTATGTACGAACCACCCCCCGGAGCTAGAAAGGAACGAGAACGTGAAGACAACGAACCCGAATATAAATTTGAATGGCAAAGAAAATATAATGCGCCTCGCGAAAGTTATTGCAAAGGAGATCAAGAAATTCGCGATCAACCATTTGGGATTCAAGTACGAAATGTTAGGTGTATTAAATGTCACAAATGGGGACACATTAACACCGACAAAGAGTGTCCTATGTATAGTTTATCGATGAGTGCAGCAAGATCTTTGGAAGCTGGTCCAATATTAGATCAAAAATCATTAGTACAACAAATGTTGGACGACGGACTTGCTTTAAAAAAACAGCACATAAACACATCAGAATCAAAACGACACGATTTGTTGTTAAGTGATGATGAAAATGATGATATCGATATAAAATTTATTAAATCTTTAAATAACGATCAAAAATTGCTTTTATTAGAAAAGTTATTAAAGATAGAAAAAGATAAGAAAAAGAAGAAGAAAAGGCGAAGAGCTTCGACGTCATCTTCATCGTCATCAGATAGTAAAGAGGAAAGCCAAAGGAAACGCAAAAAAATTAAAAATGGGAAAAAGAAGAATAAGAGTGAGAAGGTGAAAAGGAATAAGAGGAAAACTGATTCAAATAGTCACGAATCACCAAAGAAGAAATCACGAAGGTCTCCTTCGAGTGATTCCTCAAGTTCTGATAGTAGTACTGGGGAGGAGAGACAAGGAAGAAGAAGTCGTAGCAGGGAAAGACATGGTGATCATAAAAAGAAGGAAAAAAGTAGGGACAGAAGAGAAAGATATACAAGTGGTGAAAGGAGATATCAATCTAGGCATTAATTTATTAACAAGATGTAAATGTTTTTTTTTGTAATTAATAATAATAATCAAAGTTGAAATAAAAAAGTATATGAGGTATCTAATCTTTCAATTTTACTATAGTTCGTTTTTTTTTTTTCTATAATACTTGTCAATGTAAATTTTTTAGGGTTTCTGTTGGTATTATCTAGGACCCTTATAAAATTTATGTTGTTTTCCTGATTTTAGTAACATTATCAGTAACTAATGTTAGTAACTAAGTTGAGGTTAAAATACTAATAAATTTTTAGATAAATACGATTTTAACGAAGTACATATTTATTGTAGAAACATGCTACAAAGTAATTAAATAGAACAAAACACCTTTTCTAGGTAAATAAATGGCAAATAAACACCCCACAACATTTTTTATGCACCGTTTCTTTTTGAATAACGAAAACTCAAACGTCAGTATGACATATCTATTTCAAAACATAATAAAACAAAACTCCCTGTTAATTTTTCCAACTTTACAACAATTTGACAGGTATTATAGAAAAAAAAATTAACTGTACTTAAGATCTGCCAGACCAGTGTTTCCTAACATGGGCAATATCGCCCCCTAGGGAGAAATTATTTCATTAATAGTTTTTATATTTCTATTTTGCTTTATTGCTTTCCTGTGACCGGTCAAAAGTACACCATAACACATTCTGTATATGAATGCTTGAAACCCTATTTTGGTCAAAATCAAATACCTTAAAAAAACAGTTTGTGCAATAAATGGTGCTTCTGTGATGATAAGACGTGGAGAGGTTTTGAATTAAAGAACACCATGTACTGCTACTTTAGTTCCTTCATTATTGGGTCAAGACTAGAAGTGTGCTTGATAAACGAAAATATTATATTCCTTATAACCTCCTTCATTTTTCTAAATTGAAAAAGTCAAAAAGATTAGCTCGTCAAAATATTGGTTGTATCTCTTGATTTTTGCTTATCAACTCGTCGCGCANTTCATTATTGGGTCAAGACTAGAAGTGTGCTTGATAAACGAAAATATTATATTCCTTATAACCTCCTTCATTTTTCTAAATTGAAAAAGTCAAAAAGATTAGCTCGTCAAAATATTGGTTGTATCTCTTGATTTTTGCTTATCAACTCGTCGCGCATAATCTGGTTAGGTTAGTCTTTGTCTAATCCAATTCAGGTCGGTATGTTTTGATTACATATTCCTTCCAATCCGTTGATGCTGTGGCCGTTATGTCTTGAACAGTGGCGTAGCTAGCCATGAAGGGGCCCTGTATCAATAAAATATCGGGGGCCTTTTTGGGGTAATAAAGAATTTTTGTTTAAATTTATTTTTAAACAAAAACAACAATACATATAGTTTATATTATACACATAAGTTTAGTTTATATGTGCAAATAACTAAAAATGCTACGTTTTTAAATAATTAATTTTCTAGCCTTCATTTCGGCAAAAGCATTTATGATATCATCCATTGCTGATGACGATTTCAATTTTTCAAGTTCCTCTTTTTCTATGGACAGTATTGATAAATCCGATAGTCGATCCTGTTCCATAGATGTCCTTAGGTATGTTTTAATGAGCTTCAATTTAGAAAAGCTTCTTTCAGCAGTTGCGGTTGTAACTGGAAGCGTCAAAAATATAAAACATGCTGTTATAACCTCTGGGAAGCTAGAGGTGAGGCTATTGAATTTTATAACAAGCAATTCTACAAGATCTTTAACTGTGTGGATTTTGTGAATTTCAGATTTTAAGCAACTTTTGAAAGTAATTAGCTGATCATATAAATCAACTGTTAAATCCTTTTGATATTTGCTGTCTTATTTTGTATTTCTTCATTTCAAAATGAAAGTAATTTATCCGATTGTAAAACGTCAAATATATTATTCACATTATGCAATGCCTGAAATCTTTGTTTTGTTTTAGCAATCAATATATCGGTACAGCAATAAAATATGTTGACTCTGAAATACGATTCTGGATCGTTTTAGAAAGCTCCTTTTGAAACTTGTAATGTTGGGGCCCTCGAAGGTCGGGGCCCTCCAACCTCAGGGGCCTTGTATCATTGATACAGCGGTAGCTACGCCCCTGGTCTTGAATTAAGAATAGTAGTTTATCACGTAAACCAGCATCTTTATCGATTTCAGAATGTTCTAAGGATATTATTTTATTACATGTGTGTCTAATATGACTATATAATTATGAATAAGATCTTTCTTATAAAGTGTTATGATCTCAGCGAGTTGTAATTTAAACTTTGAGTTCTAGCATAACTCAGTTTCTGCTGTTTTAAGTCATAATCTTTTGTAATGTTTTCCAAATCATAGTATTATTCTACCATAGTTAAATAAGTGCTAAATCATCAGCACTCAGTTTCTCTTCTTAAATGGGTTATTCTTATATTTTTCATCATCATTGGTTCTATAACCCTGGAAGCGTCTTGACCTGCTTAAGGATTTTCTTTCATTCTTCCCTATTACGCGTTACCGTTCTCAAATTTCTCACATCCCCCTCCACCTGGTCCATATATATCTCGTCTAAACTCCTTCCTACCGGTGTTTGTCTAACTATTTGTTTCGTTGGTTCCACCTTCTTCATCTGCTCCACATGTGCTATCCAGTCTTCCAATTTTTATAGTTGTCACTATATCCGGTTCCTTGTATTCTTGGTACAGTTTATGGTTAGAACGCCACTGTCCCTGTTCTTGGATTTCTTCATATATGTGGCTAAGTATATATCTTCCTTTCAAACGTTCCCGAAATCTTTCATCAGCNTTATAAAGTGTTATGATCTCAGCGAGTTTTAATTTAAACTTTGAGTTCTAGCATACTCAGTTTCTTCTGTTTTAAGTCATAATCTTTTATAATCAGTCAGTTTCTCCTCTTAAATGAGCTATTCTTGTATTCATCATTGGTTCTACAACCCTGGAAGGGTCTTGGCCTGCTTAAGGATTTTCTTTCATTCCTCTCTATTAATTAGAGTTAATTATTAATTAAAATTTCTCACTTTGAGTGTCCTCACATACCCCTCCACCTGGTCCATATATATCTCGTCTAAACTCCGTCCTACCGGTGTTTGTCTAACTATTTGTTTCGTTGGTTCCACCTTCTTCATCTGCTCCACATGTGCTATCCACATCAGTCTTCCAATTTTTATAGTTGTCACTATATCCGGTTCCTTGTATTCTTGGTACAGTTTATGGTTAGAACGCCACTGTCCCCGTTCTTAGATTTCTTCATATATGTGGCTAAGTACATATCTTCCTTTCAAACGTTCCCGAAATCTTTCATCAGCTTGTGTTATTACTCAGATCTTCGGACCATACATTATCACTGGTCTAATGAGTGTATTATTAATTTTGCTCTTTGTTTTCTTGGTTGATATGTTTATTTCAAGTGCTTACGCAGCCCAAAATAGGTCTGATTGTCATATATTTTCTCAACATTTGTATTTAGAGCCAGTTCCTTTGCTGCGCTTGTAAATGCTACGAAAGCCTCTACCATATCTCTCTTAATTCTACCTATGATGTCCAAATCATCGGCATATACCAGTATTTGTACACTCTTATTTATAATTGTCCCTCTTCTGTTAATACCTGCTTGTCTTATACTTTTTCTAGCACTATGTTAAATAAAAGGGTTGGATTGGGTTGGCGAGGTTGATAATGGATATCCTTGTCGTAACCCTGTATACATATGTGTTGAAAAGGGTTTTTGTATTATTCTCATATTACATGATGTTTTTTTCAACGTACTCACCCAACCTGTAGTCGTTAGAAACTTTACGACTTAAACTTTTGATAGTTTACTGGTAAAAATAGGTATAGTACTTTCTGCTTTTGTTATAAAGCTCAGTACTTATTTTTCACGTTTTTTCTAGAACACCTGTTAAATTATTGTAAAGTTGGTAAGATAAACAGGGAATTTTAATTATATGCTTTAAAATTGACGTTTGAACTTTCAACATTCAAAAATACGTAATTGAGTTTTCGGTTTTATAATTACATTAAATAATTGAAATTTGATACCTAATTGTTTACTCTCATTGGTTGTAGCACTTTTTTACAGTAAATTTATTCTTCGTTAAAATCATATTTAAAAACTGTTTAATTTTTTAACCTCAATTATGTAATTATCGAAAATGTCACCCTAGGTAATACCAACAGAAACCCTAAAAAATTTGATTTTGACAGGTACTCTAGAAAAAGAAAATTACCATCAAGATAGGCATTATCTTCTAGTTTTTTTGAATTTTTTGAGCGGTTGTGGCTCAAAATTAGCAATTATGTATTCAGATAAGTAAACAAAATTATCTAACATTCATATTTTTACAACCACGTCTTCGAAATGTACGAAGAATAAATGGTCAGCAACCCGACGGGAAAAGGGGTGAAAGTAATAATATGTGGTATAAAATATGCAAAATCCGTATTCGAACACCCTCCGAAATATTAGAAAATCATCATTTACTCAAAAATGGTAGTAGAAATTTCCAATATTTTTGATGATTTATTTCACTTAGAAGAGTAAAAGCAAAAGTAGATATATTAGTTATCTCTGCAGTTCGACAACCGAACGGTAAAGGACATTTTAATCACAATTGACAGCAAAAACCGTATTCAAACAGTACAAAGTTTAATAATGACTAAGAAAATTATATTTTTGGAATAACACAAATACTTTGCTGGATGCCTGCTTGCTTAACAACAGCACTTAGACACCTTGGCATCGATTTCGCTAATTTACTGGTTAATAGAGATGGTATTTTAGTCCATTCTGTTTTCAACGCTATTTTTGTAAGTCGATTACATTTCTAAAACCGTTAAATTTCAATTTCTTCTTGAATATTGACAATAGGATCAAGATCTGGGCTTTGCGATAGTGTTTTGAGGTGTTCTGAACAGTTGTACACGATCCAAAGTTCAGAATATAGCGCGGTATGCTTCGAATGATTATCCTGTTGAAAGATAAAATCTCGTAAACACCCCAATTTTTTTTTAATGTTTATACATCCCTTCGCAGTTAATATTCCATCTATAAAATGAAGATTTCGGACTCCTGTCGCAAAAAAGCATCCCCATATCATCACCAAACTTCCACCACTTGTGCTTTGCATTTATTAAGCATACATATGAATGATTTTCTAACAGTACACCGACTTTTAAAATCAAGTTTTCTTTCCAAGTTAATTCAACTGACTTTAAAGTTTTTTGTAAAAACCTGTGCTTAACAATCAAAATGGGGACAAAACACGTTTAAAAATCTTGTATAACAGCAGTTATCTACACAAAAATACAATCCTGTGAAATGTTCGAATACGGTTTTTCCTGTTAAGTGTTAATGAAATGCTCTTTCGCGTACAGTTGTTCAACTGTATAGGTAAACAAGACATCCACTTTTGCTTTTACTCTTCTAAGTGAAATAAATCATTAACAATATTTGAAATTTGTACTACCATTTTTGAATAATTCATGACTTTCTAATTTTTCGGTGGATGTTCGAATACGGAATTTGCATATTGTATGTATTTGTCACATTAATTGTTGATTGCTCACAAATTATTCATCTCTGCATGAATGATTTAACCGAAATTTGACCCCTGACAATTAGCGGAATTGAATCGATGATAAAGGGAGTTGCGCTCCCCCGTGTTCTATTAATTTGTGGTCACAGTCAATCAACAACATGTAGATAACAATATTTCTTGGTAGATTGAGATGTTTTTCATCTCATTTCAGTTTTTCGAAGGAATCGGTATCTAGAAATTGGTCTCCTATTCATAATTTTAAAGCATCTACTAGTTCTAAAGATATATATAGCTGTTTCTTCCTGTAAAAGTCTTTAACATAAAACTGCGTCTAAAGTTAAAATCATCTTTCCTAATTTATGCAAATTGACTCTAATAACCCGATTTGTTCGAGAAAAACATTTCGAAATCAATATACTATCATTTCAATTCTATAATGGAATAATTTTTATAATTTGCTAAATTTAGAACGTAAAATAAATTCCGATAACAAATCTTTATGGGCTTTAATTTAAGGATTTCAAAAAAATATCCCTCTAAAAAACGCATTGCAAAACGCCATTACAAAACCAACCGTATGGTATTACATGAATCAACGATTACTTTAAAAGTTAATCTTTTCACGTGATTTAAAACGACGCAAACTCCATTTAATTGAATCGAGTTCGTTTAATTATTTATTGCCACCGAATAAAACAGACTGACTAATCATTAAGTAACGTTGTCTTGTGTCGTTAAAAATTGGTCGACATCGCCGTCACACGCAGTTTATATGATGACCATGAATGACGTTTAACACCCAAATTTCGTACCAAAGTGCAAATTTTATTCAATCTAAAAATAATAGTTGTTTTTGTGAATTATGTTATGATGAGTATTTTTGGAAAATTTAACTCGATATTATATCACGATACCGATCAAGATGTCGAAACGAATTTATTCGATTCTTTCAAAGATAAATTACGAAATCTACTACTTGCGATGACATCTACAGTTATCGTTACCGAAGTAACGATTTTTAATTGGTTGGGATTGGGTGAAGATGATTTTTTTGGAAATCTTAATGTGCCACCTGCAGGTGGGTGAAGAAGACATATTTTTGTGGACTTAAAATATCGGTGAAGTTTGTATTTTGTGTATATAGATATTAAATTTGTTAAGAAAAAATCGATGTTTGCTTTAAAAATGTATTTGGGTTAATACTTTTAACCTTGATTTTATCGCGATTATATTAAAAATAAAATAAGGTTTTAAAATAACCAAAAAGAAAATCCTTTTGAAAATGTTTATTAACCACAAAAAATAAAGTCGTCTTTTCTTTTTCTTTAGGAAGGGGCTAATACACAGTATAAAAGGAAATAAGAAAAAAAGTAGTACTTAGCTAAATCTTAAATCATAAACTTAGCAAAATAACGCGTAAATAAAAAGTAAAAACACTTTTAGTATTTTTGTTTTTGCGAGCAGTACATGTAAAATCGTACAATTTAATATAATTATTACATTTACATATATCACATGTGCGTGTATCCTTACATTACATATACCTTTTCGACTTTTTTATACGAGTATATCTCCTTAGTTTTAGGACAAATCACTTGACCATTATTTTCGGTAGCCATTTGTTCTAAAGCCTATAAAAGAAACTGTTTTATTTTTTAATTTAAAATAAAGTTTTTACGTACTTGTTCTCCGTATACAAAACCATTTGGTAGCATCATGGGTTGATTATTTTCATTTAATGGCAAACCACTAATATGACAGTAAAGTCTTGATTGCGAACAATGCGCAAAAGGAAGATTTTCAGCCAATTTATTTAAATAGTCATGACAAACTGGACAACTTGGGTTACGATTTTCACAATTTTCTGTGTAACACTGAGTATATATTCCGTTAAGGAAATATTTAATACATCAAAAAATTTAAATCAATTATAATAAGATTCATTCAGTAATGGTTAAAAGATTATCATAACGTCAGCAACTAGTTTTAAACCAACTCAGTTTCAACTTTTAAGTTTCTGCACTTATTTTTACCTAGCACAAAATAAACATTAGTAACACATTACTTGGGAACTTTTATGTCTTATAATGGAATTTTAATCTTTATTTTTGATCCCTTATTGCAAACTAAGATAGCAAGATATGTTTACACGTTCTTTCTACAATTCGCGATGAGTAACATCACGTGCACATTTTGTAAATAATAATGCAGCGTTAATTCTGTTTCACAAAAGTATCTTTACCGTGATTGAAGAAACTTCATCTATTATATTTTCTAGACAGTGTTCCCAAACGCAGCTTTGAAAGATCTGAGGTAAAATAACGAGGAAATTAAGAATGAATTAACTATAGAAGAGCAAGAAGGATCGAACGACGACTTTTTCGAAGCAACTTAATTAATATTTAACATGTTGAAGATCTTTCTTTCAAATCTTCATACAACAACGTCATAATTTTTTAAATACAACTATGAATTTCGATAATCGAAGAATTATATATTGACATTAATCAATGTTTAAAATGTTGTATCTCAAGAACCAATTGAGGTATCTTAACGAGATATGAAGTATTTTGAAGCAAATTTCATTGGTAATTAATTGATTGAAGATCATTTCTTCAAATCTTTAAATCTTGGTGTTATAATTTTTTGAATTCAACTCTTCATAATCATGATATTAAATCTTTAAAAATCATATATCTCAATAACTGATTGGGATATCGGCGTGAGATAAAAAGCATTTTAAAGACAACTTAATTAATAATCAACATGTTAAAGATCTTCATTTCAAATCTTCAACCTGCAACGTTACAATTTTTTAAATACAACTATGAATTTCGATAATCGATAATTTTATATTGAAATTAATCAAAGTTTAAGATGTCGTATCTCAAGAACCAATTGAGATATCTTAACAAGATACGAAGCATTTTGAAGCAAATTTCATTGGAAATTAATGGGTGGAAGGTTATTTCTTCAAATCGTTAAATCCAGGTGTTATAATTTTTTGAATTCAACTCTTCATAATCATCATATTAAAACTTTAAAAATCATATATCTCAATAACTGATTGAGATATGGGCGTGTAATAAAAAGCATTTTGAAGGCAACTTAATTAATATTCAACATGTTGAAGATCTTTATTTCAAATCTTCAAACTGCAACGTCATAATTTTTTAAATGCAACTATGAATTTCGAGAATCAAAGAATTTTATAATGACATTTATCAAAGTTTAAAATGTCGTATCTCAAGAACCAATTTAGATATCTTAACGAGATATGAAGCAATTTGAAGCAAATTTTATTGGTAATTAATGTGTTGAAGATCATTTTTTTAAATCTAGGTGTTATAATTTTTTGAAGTTAACTCTTCATAATCATCATATTAAAACTTTAAAAATCATATATCTCAATAACTGACTGAGATATCGGCGTGTAATAAAAAGCATTTTGAAGGCAACTTAATTAATATTCAATATGTTGAAGATCTTTCTTTCAAATCATCGAACTACAACGTAATAATTATTTAAATACAACTATGAATTTCGAGAATCGAAGAATTATATATTGACATTAATCAATGTTTAAAATGTCGTATCTCAAGAACCAATTGAGATATCTTAACAAGATATGAAGCATTTTGAAGCAAATTTCATTGGTAATTAATGGGTTCAAGATCATTTCTTCAAATCTTTAAATTTAGATGTTATAATTTTTTGAATTCAACTCTTCATAATCATGATATTAAATCTTTAAAAATCATATATCTCAATACCTGATTGGGCTATCGGCGTGAGATAAAAAGCATTTTAAAGGCAACTTAATTAATATTTAACATGTTGAAGATCTTTCTTTCAAATCTTCATACAACAGCGTCAAAATTTTTTAAATACAACTATGAATTTCGATAATCGAAGAATTATATATTGACATTAATCAAAGTTGAAAATATCGTATCTCAAGAACCAATTTAGATATCTTAACGAGATATGATGCAATTTGAAGCAAATTTTATTGGTAATTAATGGGTTGAAGATCATTTCTTCAAATCTTTAAATCTAGGTGTTATAATTTTTTGAATTCAACTCTTCATAATCATGATATTAAATCTTTAAAAATCATATATCTCAATAACTGATTGGGATATCGGCGTGAGATAAAAAGCATTTTAAAGACAACTTAATTAATAATCAACATGTTAAAGATCTTCATTTCAAATCTTCAACCTGCAACGTTACAATTTTTTAAATACAACTATGAATTTTGATAATCGATAATTTTATATTGAAATTAATCAAAGTTTAAGATGTCGTATCTCAAGAACCAATTGAGATATCTTAACAAAATACGTAGCATTTTGAAGCAAACTTTATTGGTAATTAATGGGTTCAAGATCATTTTTTCAAATCTTTAAATTTAGGTGTTATAATTTTTTGAATTCAACTCTTCGTAATCATCATATTAAAACTTTAAAAATCATATATCTCAATAACTGATTGGGATATCGGCGTGAGATAAAAAGCATTTTAAAGACAACTTAATTAATAATCAACATGTTAAAGATCTTCATTTCAAATCTTCAACCTGCAACGTTACAATTTTTTAAATACAACTATGAATTTCGATAATCGATAATTTTATATTGAAATTAATCAAAGTTTAAGATGTCGTATCTCAAGAACCAATTGAGATATCTTAACAAGATACGTCGCATTTTGAAGCAAATTTTATTGGTAATTAATAGGTTCAAGATCATTTTTTCAAATCTTTAAATTTAGGTGTTATAATTTTTTGAATTCAACTCTTCGTAATCATCATATTAAAACTTTAAAAATCATATATCTCAATAACTGATTGAGATATCGGCATGTAATAAAAAGCATTTTGAAGGCAACTTAATTTATATTCAACATGTTGAATATCTTTATTTCAAATCATCAAACTGCAACGTCATAATTTTTTAAATACAACTATGAATTTCGATAATCGAAGAATTTTATAATAACATTAATCAAAGTTTAAAATGTCGTATCTCAAGAACCAATTTACATATCTTAACGAGATATGAAGCAATTTGAAGCAAATTTTATTGGTAATCAATGTGTTGAAGATCATTTTTTTAAATCTAGGTGTTATAATTTTTTGAATTTAACTCTTCATAATCATCATATTAAAACTTTAAAAATCATATATCTCAATAACTGATTGAGATATCGGCTTGTAATAAAAACCATTTTGAAGGCAATTTAATTAATATTCAACATGTTGAAGATCTTTATTTCAAATCTTCAAACTGCAACGTCACATTTTTTTTAAATACAACTATGAATTTCGTTAATCGAAGAATTTTATATTGATATTAATTAAAGTTTAAAATGTCGTATCTCAAGAACCAATTTAGATATCTTAACGAGATATGAGGCTATTTGAAGCAAATTTTATTGGTAATTAATGGGTTGAAAATCATTTCTTCAAATCTTTAAATGTAGGTGTTATAATTTTTTGAATTCAACTCTTCATAATCATCATATTAAGTCTTTAAAAATCATATATCTCAATAACTGATAGAGATATCGGCGTATAATAAAAAGCATTTTGAAGGAAACTTAATTAATATTCAACATGTTGAAGATCTTTCTTTCAAATATTCATACAACAGCGTCATAATTTTTTAAATACAACTTGAATTTCGATAATCGAAGAATTATATATTGACATTAATCAATGTTTAAAATGTTGTATCTCAAGAACCAATCGAGGTATCTTAACGAGATATGAAGCATTTTGAAGCAAATTTCATTGGTAATTAATAGGTTGAAGGTTATTTCTTCAAATCTTTAAATCTAGGTGTTATAATTTTTTGAATTCAACTCTTCATAATCATCATATTAAATCTTTAAAAATCATATATCTCAATACCTGATTGGGCTATCGGCGTGAGATAAAAAGCATTTTAAAGGCAACTTAATTAATATTTAACATGTTGAAGATCTTTCTTTCAAATCTTCATACAACAGCGTCAAAATTTTTTAAATACAACTATGAATTTCGATAATCGAAGAATTATATATTGACATTAATCAAAGTTGAAAATATCGTATCTCAAGAACCAATTTAGATATCTTAACGAGATATGATGCAATTTGAAGCAAATTTTATTGGTAATTAATGGGTTGAAGATCATTTCTTCAAATCTTTAAATCTAGGTGTTATAATATTTGAATTCAACCTTTCATAATTATCATATTAAATCTTTAAAAATTATATATCTCAACAACTGATTGAGATATCGGCGTGTAATAAAAAGCATTTTGAAGGCAACTTACTTAACATTCAACATGTTGAAGATCTTTGTTTCAAATCTTCAAACTACAACGTTATAATTTTTTAAATACAACTATGAATTTCGATAATCGAAGAATTATATATTGATATTAATCAAAGTTGAAAATGTCGTATCTCAAGAACCAATTGAGATATCCTAATAAGATACGAAGCATTTTGAAGCATATTTTATTGGTAATTAATGGGTTAAAGATCGTTTCTATAAACGTTTAAATATAGGTGTTATAATTTTTTTAATTCAACTCTTCATAATCATCATATTAAATCTTTAAAAATCATATATCTCAATAACTCATTGAGATATCGGTGTGAGATAAAAAGCATTTTGAAGGCAACTTAATTAACATTCAACATGTTGAAGATCTTTGTTTCAAATCTTCAAACTACAACGTTATAATTTTTTAAATACAACTACGAATTTCGATAATCGAAGAATTTTATATTGACATTAATCAAAGTTTAAAATGTCGTATCTCAAGAACCAATTGAGATATCCTGATAAGATACGAAGGATTTTGAAGCATATTTTATTGCTAATTAATGGGTTAAAGATCGTTTCTATAAACGTTTAAATATAGATGTTATAATTTTTTTAATTCAACTCTTCATAATTATCATATTAAATCTTTAAAAATCATATATCTCAATAACTGATTGAGATATCGGCGTGTGATAAAAAGCATTTTGAAGTCAACTTAATTAATATTTAACATGTTGAAGATCTTTCTTTCAAATCTTCATACAACAGCGTCATATTATTTTAAATACTACTATGAAGTTCGATAATCGAAGAATTATATATTGACATTAATCAAAGTTTAAAATGTCGTATCTCAAGAACCAATTTAGATATCTTAACGAGATATGATGCAATTTGAAGCAAATTTTATTGGTAATTAATGGGTTGAAGATCATTTCTTCAAATCTTTAAATCTAGGTGTTATAATTTTTTGAATTCAACTCTTCATAATCATCATATTAAATCTTTAAAAATCATATATCTCAATAACTGATTGAGATATCGGCGTGTGATAAAAAGCATTTTGAAAGCAATTTAATTAATATTCAACATGTTGAAGATCTTTCCTTCAAACTGCAACGTCATAATTTTTTAAATACAACTACGAATTTCGATAATCGAAGAATTTTATATTGACATTAATCAAAGTTTAAAATGTTGTATCTCAAGAACCAATTGAGATATCCTGATAAGATACGAAGGATTTTGAAGCATATTTTATTGGTAATTAATGGGTTGAAGGTTCATGTCTTCAAATCTTTAAATCTTGGTGTTATAATTCTTTGAATTCAACTCTTCATAATCATCATACTAACTCTTTAAAAGTCATATATCTCAATAACTGATTGAGATATTAGCGTGAGATAAAAAGCATTTTGAAGCAAACTTAATTAATATTTAGCATGTTAAAGATTTTTCCTTTAAACTGCAACTCTTTTAGGCTAGATACGCATTTGGCGCCCAAGCCGCGGCGACCAGGTTATATATATTTGTATAATTTTTGAAATTGTAAACAATATCTTTAAAAATTAAATTTTGAAAGTGATAAATATAACCTAAAAATAAGAAGTTTGTAATTTCTTTTGTAAAAAATCGATTTATAGTAAACTGATGGACACTGTTTACCATAAATAGAGAGAAAAAATGTGTATTGTATCGAATTTCAGTATTTCTTGTACGAAATTTATTGGCTATAAACTTTATTGCCTATTATTTTTTTATGTCTATCCATGTATATTGATTTTATCTGCCAAAATTTAAAAATACTACTTGTATAGAGCTCTCAAAGAGATGGGAATAAATTTTGACTTTCAACAAACGGTATTTTTATTTAATAAAAATTAATTATCTAAAAGTTAGATTCAATTAAAAAACAAAGAAAGTTAGATAGCTTTGTAACCAATACTCAATGAATCTTAATAAAAAAATTATCATAATTAAATGTAAAAAAGGATATGGTGTTTTTAATGCAGATAATCCAGCTTGTAAAGTAACTGTAAATACCGATTGACTGGCCAATTGGAACAACCTATAATTTTCTTGTCTGAATTGTTCTATAAGCGTATCCCATCGTGATTCAGCAAAGAGAGCTTTATATGGAGCAATTGCTAACAAAACAAATCATCTTAAAATTCCAAGGAGAACCCAATATAATAATAAAAACAATCATACTTGTATTCACAGAAAACGCTAACAAAGCCATTACTTGTTGAATAGATTGTAAATGTTCGTCTTCGAAGCTGTGAAAATGTTTCCGAGAGTGTTTAATAGCGTCCATTCGTCTATCTGACCTAATCAATTCGACAAATTCTTGAACACGCAAGTTAAATTCCAAATTCGATTTTAATTTTCTAAGTTTTGAACGGTTATCATGACACCAAGATAAACATTTTGCCGTTTGACGATTTGCCAAAGATTTTTCTACTTCCCGAGATGTTAAGAAAATATCTAAATAAAATAATTCTAAATCTCTATCTTAAAAATCACAGGAAAAGAATGACTCACCAATATTAGTTAAATCTTTAACATTAGATCTTTCAGCTAAAGTAATAGCGGCATTATAATAACCATTTCTCAAAAAATACTCCACAACCATACGATCCAACCTCTTGCTTTTCCATTGATTAAGAGCTCCCTGTGATACCATTCCATTTGAAGATAACGAAACATGTTCTTTTAAATGTTCAATTCTCCTCTTGCAAACATTGGTAGCTTGAGATTCCTCTGAGATACTTTCTTCGGCTTTACGCTTTAAAACCTGCAACTTCTCAACCATACCTCCTAAAAGCTTAGATATATCCTTCGCTTTAACAGCTTCACCACCAAGATCTTTTTCGATATCTGCAGCGACTTGGTTAACGTGTGCCACCTCTCGATCGAGCGTCTTCTGCGCCGTACGGAATTTTTTATTTAAGATTTCGTATGGAACCTGCGAAAGCAAATTACAATGGTCGATTAGGGTTATTCGTTCAAAGGGTTTTATGGGAGGTTTAAACGACCTTCAAGGTGGGATGTTCAAGCGCTTTAACGTCTGCCATTTTGTCGAACGGCCGTTCGTTTTGGTTCTACGGCGATCGCGCGCGCGACAAAGGGAATTACAAAAACATAAATACAGATGACTGCATCTGTAGCTGAACAGCTGATTTTCTTTACAAAACGGGTGATTACGAACGACGGATTGACGTTTACGAACGATATCTAACGAACGGTATCTAAATTAATTACAGAAAACGTTATTTCGTTTATAGGAAATTGTAAATTTGAATTTAAATACAATCATTTTTTATTTGACGTTTAAAACGTCACTTTGACGTTTCGTTATGCGTCAATTTTGACATTTAATAAATAGGTTTAAAAATATAATTTTTGGGATTAATTTAAATTAAATGTTTTATAATTAATTATCTTAGAAATATTTTTTTTTCATTTTATCGTGTATTTGAAATATTATGACTATGAAATATGAAACCACTTTTTATACCCTCATTTGAACCATAAACATTTCTTTGAAATCATAATATGACCTAACGTTCTTATCAATTGACGTACACATTACTAAATAAAATGCGTATTTAAGCCTAACCATAAAGTTTTCTTCGTAAGTATTCAACCTAAAGTACTCAAAACCAAAGTTTTCTATCCCTTTTTTTAGAGCATTCATACATAATTAGGGATTCTGGTTCAAGAAGGTTCAACCCCTTCTTATCCTTAAACGATAAAACCGGTATCCTAAATCTTCTAGAAATTTTCAATAAGAGTGTACACACTCTAGACGGTATTATTGTAACCCTTGAACCTTTGAAGATATCAGTTTCTCGACGACGTTTTTCAAAAAATTGGTGGGGCGCTTCCCATGCGGATCTTGCATGGGTTTAAAATAGTCGGATGTAAGGAACGGTCGCGAGGTGGTTTTAAGTGAGACGGTCAAGATTTTTTAACGTGAAAAAGATATAAATGAAAATATAGAAATTAAAAATGATCTTGATAAATAGTACTTTATTTTTAAATACGTTGATGATGGTGACCAACGAAACTGTTATTCAATCGAGTTATGGTCAAGATGAACTTACCACATACAACAACTACCTGTTGACTGTTGGGGAAGGTACTTTATAGGTTTGCACAAAAGTTTTTGGCACAACTATTTTAATTTAAAAACATTTTAGATGCCCCAAAACCGAAGTGTTTTGGGAGTTATGGCTGTTTTGATTTAAGTGATCCTTGGACAAGTAATTTTAGACCAGAAAGTCGTTTTCCGGAGCCTCTATTGAAAGTATGTGATGAAGTAAATTTGTGTTAAGATTATAAATTTATATAATTCTTAGGTTCACCCTCGTTTTGCGTTGTATACAAGAAGGAATTCTGTTGTGCCTATTTATTTAGATATGTATGAGGTTTTTTTAGATTCTGATGCTAATATGGATCTTGAATTACCATTATATGTACTTATCCACGGATTTACTGATAATGGTAAAAAGCATTGGGTATGAAACGTTTTATATTTTGATTATGCCTTAATTTTTTTTAAATTATTTTTTAGATATTAAGTTTAAAAGATAAACTACTTGTTAGAGAAAAATGTAACATTATTATTGTTGATTGGGGCAATGCTTCAAATCCACCTTACCCTCAAGCAGTTGCCAATATTCGTTTAATTGGTGCTGTAACTGCTCATTTACTTGAAGCACTTTATGGAGAAGATGAGCATGGTTTTGATAGAGTACATTGTATTGGGCACTCTTTAGGTGCACATATGTGTGGATATATCGGTTATCAATTAAAAAAGGTAACAATTTAATATGTTACAACAACACAAAATCAGATATTTTTTTATTGAAAGGATTTTGGGTTTACAATGGGAAGAATAACCGGAATGGATCCTGCTGGTCCTCATTTTTCAAACACCCAACCACCAGTTCGATTAGACAAATCAGCAGCAAAATATGTCGATATCATTCATACAGACGCAGGAGATTTTACTAGTTTAGCATTTGGAATACAAGAAGCAATTGGTCACGTTGATTTTTATGTAAATGGAGGTTATGATCAACCTGGTTGTAGAAAAACGTTTTCTGATTTTGCCAGTACAAATGGTTTAGTATTGGGTGCACAAAAATTTATGGCTTGTAATCACGTGAGAAGTCACGAAATCTTTATAGATAGCATTAATATGAATCCATCTTGCCCGTATTTAACAATTTCATGTGATTCATATGAGGTATTTTATTTTTTATTCAATTGTAAAATGTATATCTAATTAATTTTTTGTATTTTAGGCATTTATGAATGGGACATGTTTTAAATGTGGTTATAAAAACCAACATTGCATTACTTTTGGAATGAATAGTTATCAAAGTTATTTAAGGCATTTAAAAAATCCACATTTTAAGCGTCAAGTGAATCATACACAGTTTTTTATGACAACTCCTAAATCTCCTTATTGCAGTAAGTTAATTTAACTTTTATGGTGTCTACATATCACAACCTTAATTATTTGTTATCTGAATTGTATTCTGACATAACCTTTATTTGATTTTATCTTACATTTAAGTTTTACTTCTCATTGACATAACAGTCTTGTAAGTTGTACCAGTTACAACTATTATTGACTCTCACTGGATTGATAAATTATGTTCTGTTGCATTTGACTTGTATCACATCCAACCTCAAAAAAACACTTGTTGCTGCATTATTCTCTTATATACAAAGAAATTTAAAGCAATAATAGATCTTAATCGATCTAGGGCGATAATATGGGTGGTATTTGCTAGTTTTTATTGATGGAGAATTATTATCAATACATTTACGCAGGTTGTCATAAAAAATACAGTAAACTGGCATCTTTTTGACCATCTAGCGCAATTGACAACAATTGTTCTTGAATATAAAACTGAAAAGAACAAACATACAAAAATAAGACTAATAAATAAAGGAACAACAGAACATTTCATAAGTAAATTAAGAATAAAAAAGAAAACATGTACTATCAACACTAAAATGAATTCAGATGACTTAAGAAAGATGAAAAACACTTTAGATGCTATCTACACAATAGCTGAAGTAATGAAAGAAAAGAAATACAAAGAATTGTATCAAATAAAAAAACGTGAGTTGAGAAGATTGATATTATTATATATTATACAAAAAAAGAAGCTTATAAACAATTTATGAAGAATTCACATAATAAAATAACTGCTGCCTGGAATATAGTGAAGTAAGAAACTGGAAAAACAAGGCGCAAGAAAGAAAATAGTTCTCTTCTGGACGCAAATGAATAAATTTTTTGTAAACAGTGGTAAAACTCAAACTATCAATATGGAAATAAAAGATCCTATTGGGCTTGAGCAAATTGAAGAAGAAGAAGGAATGAAACTCGAAGAAATTGGAGAAGAAGAAGTGGAAAAGATAATTAAAAACTTGAATACGACAAATTCAAAAGATGTTTACAGGATGACAACGAAACTAATTCAGAACATAGAATCAACAATAAGAGAAGTATTATGTACATTATTAAACAAATGCTCGAGAGAGGGAACTTTTCCAAATGAATTAAAGTATGTTAGAGTCATCCCCATTCAAAAACCAGGTGATCCAAATGATAAAAGCAAATATAGACCAATGTCAATAGTACCAATAATGTGAAAAGTTTTCGAAACTATAATAAAAAACAGAATCATGAAACAAATAACGGAAAAGAAATTAATAACAAAGTATCAACACGAATACCAACAGAAAAAATCAACAATGACAGCACGTCTTACAGTAATTCAAACCATAGTAGCTGCTTTTGATATGCAACGTTACACGCATGTTCAGAGTGTAAAACAATATCAAGTATATCAAAAGTATATATACTTTCTCATAAAATTTTTTAACCTGGCTTGTATTTTTCGTCCATTTTAGAAACAGTTTTCAATTTTAAATTGTTTAATTCTAATTTGTATAAAAGTCACCCCGACCTCATATGAGGACGTTAGGTAGGAGTATGGTAGGATTCAAAACTGCCTTTCTCGATGCACATAGTTTTTTTCTTGAAAAAAATTCTTGGTGTCTTGGGCTAGAAATGTATTTTATAAGGTTTAGAACCACCTTCGCTACAAGTGGTATTCCCTTGAAATCTTCGGTTTCATTATGTTTTTTACCACAGTACACATAAAACCCATAGGAATTAGTAAGTAGCCCAGAAGAGCTACTTATCATCCAGTTTATGTATCCAAATCTTACACGTTTATCTCTTATAAATTATTTTACAGGATTGTGACCAAAATATTTGACCATAGATTCATCTATTGATATCTACTTATGGAAGCAACCCCACTTGCAAAAATTTTCAATAATTTTATTCATGAATGGTCGAATTTTATACATACGACCTTGGGAGCTTCCTATTTGGGTGTTGTCTGCTAAATGTAAATTTTTTTATTTGAAGATATCTATCTCTGATCATAGCATTATAGACAAAGTAGACTCCCAAGTCTTCATCTGTTGACTAATAAAACCGCTCTTGAGGTAATTTGTGATATCTTGTGAACAGCAAAATTGCTGTAAATGTTCGCATTTCTTGCGGCTGTTTATGTATGTGTTCTGCTAGTTTAACTGTATCCTCCATTTTTTGGTCCACTAGAGTATTGCATTTTCGGCTGTTTATAGTTTTCCAGTGAATAACTCCTGAACTTGCAACTCTGGTATTGCACCAATATACAGGGTGTATCTGAATGACGTGCCGAAACTTCAGGGGGTGATTCTTTAGGCAATTTTAAGGGTACTTTCTCATATAAACTATCAGCGATTTTGACTCCCCTGCGGAGCTACGCCCCTTCAAAAATGGCGAAAAATTTTGGTTTATTTTATTTTTTCCGAAAACCATTAACATCAAGAAAATGAAATTTGGGAAATATGTTTAGCTTATAATAGGGCATGTTTGGAGCCTATTTGTACTTTCAATCTTCCCTTCTAAGTTACTAAACATAACTACTCCCGTTCAATTTTTGTCTAGATCTTTTTTATGACGATGATAAATACATTGGAAATATTTTATTTAGATAGACGAAAATATTCTAAAACTTTTTTGCCTCTCTGATGTTCTTCNTTTGCAGGATTGTGACCAAAATATTTGACCATAGATTCATCTATTGATATCTGCTTATGGAGCAACCCCACTTGCAAAAATTTTCAATAATTTTATTCATGAACGGTCGAATTATATACATACTAACTTGGGAGCTTCCTATTTGGGTGTTGTCTGCTAAATGTAAAAATTTTGTTATTTGAAGATATCTGTCTCTGATCATAGCATTATAGACAAAGTACACTCCCAAGTCCCTAGTGTTGACCAATAAAACCGCTCTTGAGGTAATTTGTGATATCTTGTGAGCAGCAAAATTGCTGTAAATGTTCGCATTTCTTGCTCTATCCTCCATTTTTTGGTCCACTAGAGTATTGCATTTTCGGCTGTTTATAGTTTTCCAGTGGATAACTTCTGAACTTGCAACTCTGGTATTGCACCAATATATAGCAGATACAGAGTAGTACCCAGTACACTGCCTTGACAGACTCCCTCCTTCTATACCTTTTAAGTCCGAGTGTTCATCTTCTTATTTAACTCTGAAGAGCGTATTCGAGGTGTACGATATTAATATCTATACGTGTTGCTTTTGAAGGCATTTTGTTTCGTTTGTGTAACAAACTTTGTCAAAGGCTTGTGCAACATCTAGGAAGACTGCAGAGCAGACTTTATTTTCTTCCAAGGTCCGTGCAATAGTATCGGTTATACTATACACTTGGTCTATTGTTAAGTATTTTTGCCTAAATGCAAATGGATAGTCTGGAAATAGGTTAGAAATGTTTCAAAAATCTGGCAAGGCAATAAATTTTTCAAATCGGTTTGTACTTTCAGCTAGTTTTTATTTGATAATATTTATATTTGTGTAATTTGGATGAAACTTTACCCATTTTAGTCATTGAAATTCAGCATACTTTTTTGCTAAATGACCTACAGGTTTTTCAACTTGGTCATTTGCATCGATTTCATTAGTGATTTCAACGGTACCAGGAATATCTTTTGGGGTAAAATAGGGCCGTTAAGGTCAATCGATTAGAAAGACCGTCTTCCAAAAAAACGGATTAGTAACGTTTTCACGTTCGAAAATTGTTTAATTTTTGCAATAATTAATGTAAAAGTTTAAAATTCCCCACCCCCGACTCCAGATGACGTTTTAAGTAAGAAGAAAGAAATCACAGACGTTCTCTCCCATCTTCTTCTAGCGCATAAGATTCGTAGCATTATCTATTATCTCTGTCCAGGAATTTTATTGATTTTTATACGCTCAAATCTGAGTGACGTACTTTGGAGTTCGCGCCCTGTAGTTTCAAACTTTATTATTTTTTTTGAAAAACTAAGCCTCAGAATCAAAAATTAAAAAATATAGGGTCAATCAATTTTAAAAAACTTTCGAATAAACCAATAAAAAAAATACTTAACGGCCCTATTTGTATCAGCCATAACATCGTCATCGCAATCTTCGATATCCGTAAGATTATTCAAGTTTGCAGGAAGTGCATATAATTCAATTACCACAGAATCATCTTGCAGCACAATATCATCTACGGCTTGTTCCAAACGTTCAAAACTTTTACACCCATAAAACATTTTTGGATCCATAACTTCACTATCGTTACAGCCTTTATAATAAAAAAATTAAGGACCAGGTCCGAGATATCTCGGGACATACTATATGTATTTGCATGTATTTGAAAAAGAATTGAAGTTGTGCTATCAATGCTTTAGAACTTTTATTAAACTCAACAAAAAAGAAATCTAAATATTGTAGTCAAATTATTGCGAGAAAGAAGTATTTAAAAATTTATTGAAACATTTTTTTTAGAGTCACATTATAAAATATCAATCTACGTTTCATCACACGAAGAAAGTAAAGCACATGGAGGCGAAATAGGAACTTTATTATTTACCATGCACACCACTGTAGATGGAAGTGGAAAAAAATCAGATAAAATTTCTTTGGATAAGGAACATTATCACGAACCCGGCGGTAATTATACCTACGTTATCCCCGGCGATGGTTTAAAAAATTTAAAAGCTGTTGAAGTTGAATGGAATTATAACACAAATTTTATTAACCCATTAACTTGGAGGATTATGGCTACGCCGAGGATTTATATCGATAAAATTGAAGTAGAAGCTTTAGAATCAGGAGAGAGGTAAATTAAAAATCATTTAAATACATTTATTAATAATATTTTTTTAGAATTACAGTTTGTCCAAAAGATCAAAAACCTTTAATTAATTCGGATTCACAAATATTATTAAAATCCTATTGTTCTAATACTTAAAAAGTATTGTTAAAAAAATTTGTTATTAGGTTTATAATAATCAATGCAATTAATTTTATAAATAATTATTAATTTAATAAATACAAAAAAACATCTTAATTTCTTCTTATATCATCTAAATGTAGCTGTTTCACTTCAAAATTATCAAACTTATCCATCGTTTTAATACTAAGCATAGCATTAATACCAAAAAATAATCCAAACACAAAAAGAACCCCAACAATTAACGAAGCTGCCGTCGTCGGAGTTATATAATTAGTACACTCAGCAGCAGGGGAAAATGAACCTCCTTCACAATTCGGTTGTATTTGTATCCCGTGAAAAATAACTTCCATATGATTGTCTAAATCTCGAAATCGGATATCGTAGCTACAATGAAACGAAAAATTATTTTTCATTACTATGTTTATGTTCGATAATAAATAATTATCTCCATTTGCATCTGCCAGTTTCGTTGTTACCATATTCCAATAATTATTAAACATTAAAATAAACTTAAATTCTAATAAAATCGTAACGTTTTTATCGATTTCAAATTCAATATTAAGATCGATTGTTCTCGGATGAATGTCCGATCGAACGCCAATACAATGGTCTAACACAAAAAATAAACTTTCTAATCGTAAAACAGGTGGACGATCTGTATATAACATAACACCTTGGCTGTTATATAGCACTCCAGTAAAACGTGATGTAAATCGTTTTTTTCGTTTCTTCAAATTTTTTTCTTCGAACACAATCAAAGGATTTTCGTAAAGATCGTAAATTTCTTTGATTATTTCCATATCGTTGTTGTGCTCGATTTGGTTGAATTTTTTCAAATTAATTTTTTCGTTCGGTAAATACGATGAATTTAAATTGAGGTCTGCTCGTATAGTTTTTGGTATTTTAGACAAATCCGTTTTAAATACTATTAAATGGGTGTTGTTAATTTTTTCGGTTATTTTTTGAAAATCTTCCGTTGTGTATTGTTTTAAAGCTGGAAATTTTAATTCTTCAGTACTCCATAAAAGTAATTTTGATTCGATATTCTCTATTTTTACTAATAACAGAAAAATAAATAACATTTTTGTTGGATTTAAGAAATTAACTTGAGAGGGGGTCATTTTACAATGAAATATCAATTTTTAAATCACTTGTCAAAGTGTTGTCAAGAGTATATGTATGTATGGTAGCACTGTCTTTCAAATTTGACAGATTGATTATAAATGAGAAATGTCAAGAAAAAGAGGAAGTGGGTATCAATTGGACCGCGTTATGCATCACTTGACTAAGCGGCAAATGAATAATGTTGAGAAAAAGTGGTTTTCGTTTTCATCTCTCTAAAAATATGACTTCCCAAAATAGACAGGCTCAAACTATTGAAAATTGTTTGATGCCTGTCCATTTGTATCACAGAACACTGATGACAGCAATCACAAGCACAGAAGTGGCATAAATTTAATCAGTAAAACTAGAGACAAAATGATGACGATTTCTGTAAAAACTTTTGAAGAAAATAATTTTTATTTTATATAGAATTTAAGTCTAACCAGTTTTGGCCCTTGGCCATCTTCAGAGACTCTACAAATAGATTCACATCTCTCATCTTATCCATTTTACAAACAAGTTTCTTAATATTTCTTTTTGTTTTATTAAAAAAGATCACATATCAAAGTAGGAGCAGATTATTAGTTACTAATTTACAAAATTAAAGTTTAAAAAGTTGTAAAATGAAATTAAGGACGAAGTATTACAAGTTTACAGGTTAAAATTTAAGAACGCCCTTTTTTAACAAAAGAAATATTAACAAACTTGGGAAAAATTCAAGAATTATCATGTGGCTTAAAAATCGACGATTTTTTTAATTAATGTGAAATAACCCAAAAAACACGTTAAAAATAAAAAGGAAGTGCGGAAAAGTGAGTAACACTAGATTAACTTCAGTTATAAAACTTCTATTATATGATAACAACGATGATAACTAACTTCAGGTTTAAAATGTCAACGTCAATTTTGACATATTTGTAATCTTCATTAAAAATCCTTTAAAATGTTGGAAAAATTGACATTTCTATGTTTTTATTTATACAGTGTATTTCACCTAAGAAGCAATATACAAAAATATAAAAAAAAAATAAAATAAAATTAAAAAAATATTAAAATATAAAGCCAAATATTAACGGTTATAATTTTATTATTGTTAGGTTATCCAACTTGTCTCGGTTACCATGGTGATTAAGATCCAAATATTGCAGGTGCTTGTTAAAATTGAAATTGAATTTAAGTTCTTTTAAGGAAAAAGTCTTATTTAACTCAAAATTGGTTTATCTAGGGTATTATAAACAAGGTAAGTGGATTAAATCAAAAAAAGATATTTTTAATTTATTTCTCTTAATTAAAATCGATTTAAATTAACTACAATTAACGAATTTGTTATGAATGCGAGATAATCGTAAAAAATTCGAATTGTTTTAAAATTAATAAAAATTAAGTTAAAATTGATAAAAAATCGGAATAAAATTCTATTATTTTAAGGTTATCCAATTTGACTCGGTTACCATGGTGATTAAGATAAAATATTGCAGTTGCTTGTCAAAATTTACGTTGAATTTATGTTTTTTTAGTGAAAAACACATAATTAATTGGATTTAAAGGTTGTATTTAATTCAAAATGGGTAAATGGATGAAATTATAAGCAAGGTAAGTGGATTAAATCAAAAAAAATATTTTTAGATCAATTAAAATGTACAAGAATTTAGGGTTAAATAACAATTAAAACTAGAACTAATACTAGACCTAGAACTAGAAAGTTTTAGGTTTAGCCGGGCGTCTTAGACAAGAACTTAGAAAAGTCATTTACACTTACAATCTTGCACTTACAATCAAAGTTGCTTATATCTCGAGTAATATTGGAATTACACGTATCATGTTTGGGCTCATTTTAAAGGATTTTTCACGACAATTACAAATATGTCAAAATTGACGTTGACATTTCTAACCGGAAGTTGACCATAACTTCATTAATATTGAAGATAAATATGTCGTGTTTGTACTCATTTTAAAGGATTTTTAATGAAGATTACAAATATGTCAAAATTGAGGTTGACATTTTAAACCTGAAGTTAGTTATCATATAATAGAAGTTTTATAACTGAAGTTAATCTAGTGTTAGTCACTTTTCCGCACTTTCTTTTTATTTTTAACGTGTTTTTTGGGTCATTTCACATTGATTACAAAAAATCGTCTATTTCAGTGCTAGTTAAGCGCTAGTTAGCATAGCATATTACGATGTTGTATATTTTTATTGAACTAAAACTAAAACGAGAACTAGAAACATTAGTGTTTAGTCGTGAAAAAAACTTTCAGTTGTCAATGTCAACTTTAATTTTATTATTATATTCGTAATCTTCATAAAATAACCTTTAAAGTGAGTCCAAACTTGACGCATTTATCTCAAAAAACCAAAAAGTTCGAACTTTCAACTTTTAATTTTGACATATTTGTCAACTTCATAAAAAATCCTTTAAAATGAGTCCAAACTCGACATATTTAACTTTAATATTAATGGAAATACAATCACTTCCGGTTTGAAACGTCAACGTCAATTTTGACATATTTGTCATCTTCATTAAAAAACCTTTAAAATGTTAATACCAACCTTAATTTTTTTTTTTTTTATTATATTTTTGTTTTTGTGACAAATATTAAGACATTTTATAAAAATTAAGAATACATATGTCAAAATGACATTGACATTGCAAATCGGAAGTGCTTATATCTCGAGTAATATTGGAATTAAACGTATCATGTTTGGGCTCGTTTTAAATGACAATTATTTCGGATTTTTCATGACAATTACAAATATGTCAAAATTGACGTTGACATTTCTAACCGGAAGTTGACCATAACTTCATTAATATTGAAGATAAATACAGTGAAATTCCCCTAACTCGAACTTCTATATCTCGAATTATCCTCTAAGTCGAATAATTTTCGTAAGCTCAAGCGTTTGACTAGGCTTCAAATGTGTTTAAATGTGTTTCTCTAATTCGAATTTTCCATAACTCGAAGTTTTCTTCCGCTCCCTTAGTGATTCGAGTTAGGGAAATTTCACTGTATGTCGTGTTTGTACTCATTTTAAAAGTTTTTTAATGAAGATGACAAATATGTCAAAATTGACGTTAACGTTTCAAACCGGAAGTGATTGCATTTCCATTAATATTAACGTTAAATACATATGTCGAGTTTGGACTCATTTTAAAGCATTTTTTATGAAGTTGACAAATATGTCAAAATTAAATGTTGAAAGTTTGAACTTTTTGGTTTTTTGAGATAAATGCGTCAAGTTTGGACTTACTTTAAAGGTTATTTTATGAAGTTTACGAATATAATAAAAAAATTAAAGTTGACATTGACAACTGAAAGTTTTTTTCACGACTAAACCCGAATGTTTCTAGTTCTCGTTCTAGTTCAATAAAAATATACAACATAGTAATATCTTATGCCCACTGCCACTAGAACCAACACTAGACCAAGAATTAGAAATATTCGGATTTAGTCCCACGTCTCTCAAGACGGCTAAACTCGAATGATTCCAGTTCTAGGTCTTGTGTTAGTTCTAGTGATAGTGCTAGTGTAAAACTAGAACTAACACTAGACCTAGAAAGTTTTTTCTAAGATAAGTTACACCTTTATATACCAGACAGCATGAAAATCTCTAAAAACGATAAAATGTCGCTTTGTCAAGTGATGTATAACGCGGTCCAATTATCCAAATACTTAAGTCTTTACTTTGTCAAGGACGAAATCTTTCAAGGTTCATACGTGAATATTGTTTGCCTTCTGACACAATCGTATTAAACTACTCAAGTGTTTTTTAAAGACTTATTGCAGTAAATACGACTAAATGACGATTAAAGCAAATTTGGTTTACTAGGATTCCACTATGTCCAAAACGACTTATTTCTACGAGGCACAAATCACTTAATTTGGTTAATAGGTAGACGTATTCGCCATCTTATTTAGGAGTTTCCCAATTTCTCAATCAATGTTATCTTAAATAAACGTCAAAAAGTTTAATCTATATCAGTTTATATTTTTATTAATAAAAAGTAAGTAATTTTTATAAACAATTGGAG